AATCAGAGGCAGCTGTCGCTCGTTGTCTCTGATTGGGGATCATACTTAGGCAGCCTATTGGCACTAGTGTGTCGTGGGATCTTGTTCCGGGTAAGGTTTGTTGTATGTACAACCTTAGGACTTCACGTTTCGTTTGTTTGTTGTTTTGTCGTGTGTTTATTCAGTGTAAATAAACATGTACGTATATCACGCTGCGCCTTGGTCTGACCCGTCATTAGACGAACGTGACAGAAGATCCCACCAAACGAGGACCAAGCAGCGTGCCCAGGCGGAGCGCATGGCCATGTCACAGGTGGCCAATTTGTGGTCATGGGAGGAGATATTCGCGGGGAAAGGACCATGGGCTAAGGTAGATGCCCAGGCAGGAGAGGAGCAACGGCAACACGGAGGAGGCCGGTCGAGGAGGAAGCCTGAGAAGCAGCCCCAAGAAAAATTTTTTGGGGGGGCACACAGGGTGGTTGGCGGAGCCTAGGGTTAGAGCAGAGCCAACTCCCCGTACTCACGCGAGGAAGCGTATGACTGGGCAAGCTCCGTGTTATGCGGAGCTACGTACTGTGTCGCCAGTGCGCTGGCACAGTCCTGTACGTCCTGTGCTTGCACCACGCACGTGCCGTGTGAAGATGGGCATCCAGCCAGGATGGGGTGTGCCGGCTCAACGCTCCTGGTCTCCAGTACGCCTCCTCGGTCCCGCATATCCTGCGGCAGTTCTACGAACGGTATCGCCAGTGCGCTTGCACAGCCCAGTGCGTCCTGTGCCAGCGCCCCGCACGTGTAGTGCGAAAGTGGGCAGCCAGCCAGGACGGGTTGTGCCAGCTCTCCGCTCCAGACCTCCAGTCCGCCTTCACAGTCCGGTCCGGCCCGTTCCTGCTCCTCGCACCAAGCCAGTGGTGCGCGTCACCAGCCCGGCCTGTTCCTGCTCCTCGCACCAAGATAGTGGTGCGCGTCGCCAGTCCGGCCCGGCCCGTCCTGCTCCTCGCACCAAGCCAGTGGTGCGCGTCGCAAGCCCGGCCTGTTCCTGCTCCTCGCACCAAGCCAGTGGTGCGCGTTGCCAGTCCGGCCCGGCCTGTTCCTGCTCCTGCTCCTCGCACCAAGCCAGTGGTGCGCGTCGCCAGTCCGGCCCAGCCCGTTCCTGTCCATCGCACCAAGCCAGTGGTGCGTGTTCCTATTCCGGTCCGGCCCGTGCCTGCTCCTCGCACCAGACCAGTGGTGCGTTTGTCCAGTCCGGCACGGCCCGTGCCCGCTCCACCGGTGCCTGATCCAGCTCCGGTCAGCTGCTCCACTCCGGAGCCAGAGCAGTCCGCTCCACCGGTGCCTGATCCAGCTCCGGTCAGCTGGGCCACTCCGGAGCCAGAGCAGTCCGCTCCACCGGGGTCCAGTCAAGCTCCGGTCAGCGGCTCCACTCCGGAGCCAGAGCAGTCCGCTCCACCGGTGCCTGATCCAGCTCCGGTCAGCTGCGCCACTCCGGAGCCAGAGCAGTCCGCTCCACCGGGGTCAAGTCCAGCTCCGGTCAGCTGCTCCACTCCGGAGCCAGAGCTGTCCGCTCCACCGGTGCCTGAACCTGCTCCGGTCAGCTGCTCCACTCCGGAGCCAGAGCAGTCCGCTCCACCGGTGCCTGATCCAGCTCCGGTCAGCTGCGCCACTCCGGAGCCAGAGCAGTCCGCTCCACCGGGGTCCAGTCCAGCTCCGGTCAGCGGCTCCACTATGGAGCCAGAGGAGTCCGCTCCACCGGTGCCTGATCCAGCTCCGGTCAGCGGCTCCACTCCAGAGCCAGAGCAGTCCGCTCCACCGGTGCCTAGTCCAGCTCCGGTCAGCGGCTCAAGTCCAGACCATGACATCAGCCCCTCTCCAGGTTCGGGTTCTCCCACACCAGGGTCCAGACAGGGCCTGGCGTATCGTGGTAGGAAGGAGAGGGGAAGTAGCGCGCCGAGGTCCAGACCAGACCAGGGCGCAACAGGGAGGCGGAGAGTGAGAGGTCGTCACGCCCCGAGCCGGAACCGCCTCCGAGGCGGAATGCCCACCCGGCCCCTACCCTGTTATGTTTATGTTGTGCGGTCGGAGTCCGCACCTTTGTGGGTGAAAATCTTACTCGAAGTCACAGAGGATGCACAGAGGGACATGACAAAATGGAGAAATGTTGCACTTTTGCAAGTCTTTTCAGATTTATTGAATTTTCCATGCCATGTGGTCAATATTAAAGGGCACTTCATTTAATATAACAGGCTTTTAAAATTCAATATTTGTGCACAATTTATACTTAAAATATCAAAGGGACGCAAAAGGCACTCATTTCCTGGAATGACCCTGTACACTTTTCAGCTCTCATGGTCTTACACTTTAGTTTAATTTATACTGCCAGCATAGAGCATATGCCTACCATGCAAATGTAATATGCATTGCATTTTACATATCAACACAATGTGAGTCTGGTTTTATATAATTAATGACACTGTACTGAATAAATTATATTTATCGTTTTTCTACTGTTCGAACGGTCAGTTGTCATGAAAAAGGAACAGAAGCAAGCCAAGAACATGTAAACAGTCCCCTGTTGCTATGTGGGGTTTGTTTGTCCATTGCTCATGTTGTTTGTGCTTGGATGAAATGGAACAGGGGAACTAGAGTACATGAGATGAGAGCAGAGAACACATTCTTGCTTTGTCTCTTCTCCTGCCATCTGCTTGTATCAAATGTCCCTGCTCCAATGGGAGGTGTGAAGTATAGTTTACTGGCACAGGGGAGCTGTGCTTGTTGTACTGTGGAAGAAATACATTCATTGATAAAGGACAGCTCAGCAGAAACCCTGACACACCCCTGTGAGTCAGATGGGAGAGAGAGAGAGAGAGAGAGAGAGAGAGAGAGAGAGAGAGAGAGAGAGAGAGAGAGAGAGAGAGAGAGAGAGAGAGAGAGAGAATCACTCTGTGAAAGGTTGGAATTTAGCTAAAGAGGTTGCCTCACTGAACAATTGTTGCCAATTGGCCTTTGTGTCTGGCCTGGAAGAGGTTGTTAGAGAAAGCCTGCAGAGAAAGAAGAAATAGTGCTAAGCATAGCTGCAGGGAAGAGTGCCGTTATCAGAGAACCCTTTAGATTATGGATGAAAAATACTGAAAGATACATGATGGTGGCAGTGCTATATATGTGTTGTTTGTTTATGGTTCTTATGTAATGGTAGAAAAATATCTAGGCCTACATAAACAACACCAATGGCATGCCTTTGAGAAAAATAGATTTTTAGACAACAAAGGTGAGATCAAAACTGACATTTATCATTGGATACCTCAAGAGTAATCTAACATGCGTTTTTATTGGGCTGTTCTCATACAGGCTATTGTAGTGCTGTCACTGGGGGATCCAGGAAAGTTAGATGTCCCTTTCATGTCCTCTGTAGCTCAGCTGGTAGAGCACGGTGCTTGTAACGCCAAGGTAGTGGGTTCAATCCCCGGGACCACCCATACACAAAAATGTATGCACGCATGACTGTAAGTCGCTTTGGATAAAAGCGTCTGCTAAATGGCATATTATATTATTATGTTGGGGTGCCACACAAAAGACCCTGGCTCTCTCTCCAATAGGTGTGTCTTTTTTTCCTGAACAGGGAGAGAATTGAAAGATTTTCTACATACAATTTAGATGTACTTAATGTACTTAATATATATACTTGAATTGAATGTGCTTATTACATTATGTCCGAGACTATTCATTATGTAGTCCTTACATAACACCATTAATGGCTATTCACACCTTCATAATTGCACCTTCCATCCCACCTACCATCACGTCTCCCGCTCCCATGGACAGTATGTGCTTGGTGTGGACTTGATTGTAACTCAATTGAGACAGGTAGAAAATTACATGAATTATGTCATCAAGTTGTTCCTTGAGCACTGAGCTCATCTTGTGGCAGTATTTCTCGTATGCACAACTCTGTTGAAGTCAATTGGCTTTAATCAACACAAAATCATACAATTACTGTCAGAGGATATGTAATGAAATTGTCTGACTTTAAAGTGCATCTGTGTCCTTAATTTCACCCCATGTTGATAAATCATTTTAGTCTTGCATTCTAAAGCAACATTGTAGGTATGTCTACTGACAGAGATCATTGCCAAAATATGAAAAATGTATTAATGTTGAAAATACAACAACATACAGTAGTGAGATGTTTCTGAACATCCACATCTCATGTTACTATATTTGCTCTCACGCCCCTCTGCTCCTAAGGAGGCCAGTATAAATACAGGGAGCAGGGGACAGAGATAAAGAAAAGTAAGATGAACACTTACAGGTGAGTCTTTGACAAATCATTTTTGGGGCCATATCACTGGAATGTCATCAACCAGAATAAATATTTGTTTATTTTCTTAATAATAGATGCATACAAATGTGTGCTTTAATTAGTGCACAAATGTAAGAAGTGTGTTTGTCTTTAATCTATCAATGCAAGATTATTCCATAAAATCTAATTTCCTGTTTATTTGTGATTTTGTAATTGGCTAGCCTTTTCAAAAGTGGATTGTGAGTTTATAGACAAAGTCATATTGATGTGTGATGTTTTTTCAGATAATGGCCTCAGAAGAGGTTGGTGAATGCCGTGGTCCTCGTTGTGGTGTGTCTTGTACTTGCAGACTGAGAACAATGTGGCTTCCCCTGCTTGTGTGCCAGTTTGGCCTGATTCTGTGGAGCGAGGCCCAGACACCCAGCACTTTTTGCAACATGCACTCGACATTCAGACCACCAAGTTAGTGAATACACTGCTCAGCTGATACAAGTACTTCCATCCCCTCTTATTTCAGGTTAGGGTGATGATAAAACAAACTTTTCACACACATCAACATCACCAAACTGTCAGGTAATTACTATTATAGTATTACAGTATTACTATTGTACCACATTGTGCGCTATTCCTTTGTCTTATCTAATGGTTCATATCTCTGGTCTTTCCCAGTGAACTCGGACATAACAATGACCTGTGGTACTGAGGTTATGGAGTTGAGTATCTTGTTATGCCCAGTCTACTTTGTGGATACAATGAAACCCTGATGGCCCTCAACACACAGTTCATCCTCCCAGAGTGCAATGGAAAACCTGACTGGAACGTTGACCCTCCGATCCTGAAATTCAATCTGTCAATAACTGCTGATGCTGTGGCTGTCTGCTCCAACACATTCAGGGTAAATCAATTACAGGAATGTATTTACCTGCTTGGTTAATTATGGTGAGACAAAATTAGTATTTGATTCGTCGAGTTGCCCCTATTGTTCTAAGCTGGGTGTTTTGAATCTCTTTGTCTTGACTCCAGATAACCAATGAAGTTGGGACTGGGTTATTTTCTGACTTCTCAAATGTCCAGTTTGTTAATATATCTGGCATCATCAACTCGTTGGACCCCAGTGCGGCCATTGTCACCTACCGCCAGCAGATGATGTACATGTTCTCCTGTCGCTACCCTCTGCAGTATCTGGTCAACAACAGTAAAGTGGCAGTGTGAGTACTTCAATTCACCACCTACTCTACTGTAACTCCCAGTCGAATTCAGCATCATTTTGTCTAATGACTCAAACAGCCTGTTCATTATTGAGTGTAAACCATGTACAGTATGTGTCTCTGAAACATTCCATCCCCTTGATTGTCCACAGATTGGGTGTGAGTCTTGCAGTGAGGGACATTAACGGCAGCTTCGTCAGTACTCTGAGTATGTGGCTCTACAGTATTGTTCACCCAGTTTCATTTCTATAGATTTATGATAACTCTGTAACTAAACCTGAAGCATTTTTGGTTTCTGGTCACGCCTAATTTGTGTATGTGTACAGTATGTGTATGACTCATAACTCTTGTCTCATCGAAGGTGTACATGTGATGGACAAACCAGGGTCGAGTTGAACGGAGCGTCTCAGAATGCACACTTCTCCTTTGAGACCTTCCGTTTCATTGAACACAAGAACATGACCGTCTCCACTTTCTACCTGCACTGTGTCACCCGACTCTGTGAGGTGTCCTCCTGCTCGTCCTTACTGCCCGTCAGTATCAACAATTAGAAAATAACACACAGGTCACTGCCTTCACTCAGAGAAACAAAACTAAACATTTTACGATAGTACATTGTGGCAGTCACAATCACATTCACCATATTGCCGTTGGTCTCTCTAGACATCCGGGTTGCCTACAACAATGTTAGAATGTTCTAGCTTAACACCTGTTGCCTAGAGTCTGGGTTTCCCAGACTATATTGCCCTCTGCTCTGAAGAACCCTAATTTCTGAGACAACCCTATGATATTCTAAGCTTATCCAACTGAATAGACAAACGTTTCAAACCAATAGGAAATGAAAACTGACTTCCTGTCTGAACTCTGCCTGTTTGATCCCAGAACTGTTCAGGTTCCTCCAGGAGAAAGAGAGAAGCCCAGGGAGTGTTGACTAACGACCAGGCCACAATCTCCTCCGGACCCATTAAGACCAAAGTGGACGACGGTGCGGCCGTACTGTACCACTGGACCAGTGGTGTGATATGATAGCAAACATTAATGATATACCAGACATGAATGAATGACACTTGATGAGAGTGAAATTGATTAGTCACCTCATTGCTCATGCAGTATGAGTAATTAAATGGATTGTAATGTAAGTCATTTCATTCTTGACCATCTTATTCTGTTTCCCTCTGCTACTGGTCTTCCAACAGCTTCACAATGTAAGAAATTCTCCCAAGCTGCCCTTGATAATCACAGTCATCAAGGCCTATGGCTTTCAATAAAATAAAATAAATGCACTCATTGGCTACAGTATGTTGATATATCCCTCCTTTCTGCCCCTCCAACAGTCTCCTCCCAGTCCCAGAGAAGCCTGTCACGTTTGTTTACACACGGGACGGACCAAGGCGCAGCGTGATAAGCATACATGTTTATTTAAACGAATAAACACACGACAAAACCACAAACGAAACGTGAAGTCCAAGGTAGCATACAAACAACATACCTTACACGGAACAAGATCCCACAACTAACTGGTGCCAACAGGCTGCCTAAGTATGGTCCCCAATCAGAGACAACGAGCAACAGCTGCCTCTGATTGGGAACCACACAGGCCAACATAGATCTACACATTCTAGATCTTAAACATAGAACATCGACATAGCAAACACAACACAGAAAATACACACCCTGACTCAACAAATACAAGTCCTCAGAGTCAGGGCGTGACAGTACCCCCCCCCAAAGGTGCGGACTCCGACCGCGCCACATAAACATAACAGGGTAGGGGCCGGGTGGGCATTCCGCCTCGGAGGCGGATCCGGCTCCGGGCGTGACCACCACTTACTCTCCACCTCCCTGTTGCGCCCCTGGTCTGGTCTGGACCTCGGCGCGCTGCTTCCCCTCTCCTTCCTCCCACGACGTACCAAGCCCTGTCTGGACCCTGGTGTGGGAGACCCCGAACCTGGAGAGGGGCTGACGTCTGGATCTGGACTGGAACCGCTGACTGGAGCTGGACCCGACGACGGTGGATCGAACTGCTCTGGCTCCGGAGTGGAACCGCTGACCGGAGCTGGCACAGGCACCGGTGGAGCGGACTGCTCTGGCTCCGGAGTGGAGCGGCTGACCGGTGCCGGACCAGGCACCGGTGGAACAGGCACGGGCCGTGCCGGACTGGACACACGCACCACTGGCTTGGTGCGGGGAGCAGGAACGGGCCGGACCAGGCTGACGACGCGCACCACTGGCTTGGTGCGGGGAGCAGGAACGGGCCGGGCCGGGCTGGCGACGCGCACCACTGGCTTGGTGCGAGGGACAGGAACAGGCCGGACCGGGCTGGTGACGCGCACCACTGGCTTGGTGCGAGGGGCAAGAACAGTCCGGACCGGGCTGGCGACGCGCACCACTGGCTTGGTGCGAGGGACAGGAACAGGCCGGACCGGGCTGGCGACGCGCACCACTGGCTTGGTGCGAGGGACAGGAACAGGCCGGACCGGGCTGGCGACGCACACCACCGGTTTGGTGCGAGGGACAGGAACAGGCCGGACCGGGCTGGCGACGCGCACCACTGGCTTAGTGCGGGGAGCAGGAACGGGTCGGGCCGTACTGGGAACACGCACCACTGGCTTAGTGCGGGGAGCAGGAACGGGCCGGACCGTACTGGGAACACACACCACTGGCCTTGTGCGGGAAGCAGGAATGGGTCGGGCCATACTGGGAACACGCACCACTGGCTTAGTGCGGGGATCAGGAACGGGCCGGACCGGACTGGCGACACGCACCACTTGCTTGGTGCGAGGAGCGGGACTGGGTTCCCTTATAAACCCCCGCTCCTTCTGCTGCCTAACCAGCTCCTCTCGCCGTGCCTCTACACTCTCCTTCTCCCTTATAGCCTCCTGTAGCTCCTCCCTCTGACCAAATAACTCCTGCTCCCTCTGAACCAATAGCCCCCGTAACCTGGTGGCCTCCTCTCCTAACCTGCAGAATCGCCCTGTCGCTGCCTCCTGCTGCCTCGTCGTCCACACCGTGTGCCCCCCCCCCCCAAACATTTATTGGGGTTGCCTCTTGGGTCTCCGTCGTCGGCACTGTTGGCGCCGTTTCACCTCTCCTACCTGGGCATCCTCCTTCATCGCCTTCCGGTAGCGGACGGCCTCCTCCTCCGTAATTCTCCCCCAACCGAGGAGGACATCTACTAAAGTAACCTCCTGATTAATTCCCGGCGTTTGCTCCTGAACACGCTGCTTGGTCCTATTTTGGTGGGATCTTCTGTCACGTTCATTTACACACGGGACGGATCAAGGCGCAGCGTGATAAGCATACAACACACGACAAAACCACAAACGAAACGTGAAGTCCAAGGTAGCATACAAACAACATACCTTACACGGAACAAGATCCCACAACTAACTGGTGCCAACAGGCTACCTAAGTATGGTCCCCAATCAGAGACAACGAGCAACAGCTGCCTCTGATTGGGAACCACACAGGCCAACATAGATCTACACATTCTAGATCTTAAACATAGAACATCGACATAGCAAACACAACACAGAAAATACACACCCTGACTCAACAAACACAAGTCCTCAGAGTCAGGGCGTGACAAAGCCCAACGGGCCATGTGGCCGTCAGTACTGCAGTGCTGGATGTGATCTGTCTCTCCATGGCCCTGTTCATTGGTCTGTTCCTGAGGAGGAGAAGGTTATCAATCTTCCAATGAGATGTGGTCTAGGACCAGGGACACCGTATCTCCTGACATGGCTGAAGACTGGGACCAGACTCCTAGCTAACACTCTGTGGGGTACTTTACGTCCCCAGAGCACGTAGACAGCTGTTGTGAAGACATGATACAGTGGCAGGTTATGAGTCAAATGAGCAAAGGATGGTTAGTTTTAAATTCATGAGTAAAGGATGGTTAGTTCTCAATTAATGAGTAAAGGATGGTTAGTTCTCAGTTCATGAGTAAAGAATGGTTAGTTCTCAGTTCATGAGTAAAGAATGGTTAGTTCTCAGTAACATGAGTACAGGATGGTTAGTTCTCAGTTCATAAGTAAAGGATGGTTAGTTCTTAGTTCATGGATTACAATGTTATACACGTTAGTGAGAAAGTATTAAGCAACATTTAATGCATAATGTTACAGAAACATAGCATTAATAATTGTAATAAAGTGGCAGCAGGGTACTAGAGGTAATCATCTTCTACACACCTAAATGTATAGTTCATAAATACGGCATGTACAGATGTTTGTAAGAATCTTTTGTATGATAGCTGACTAATAGTCAAAGTAAATTTTGTATGATAGCTAAAGGCCAGAACAAATGTTGTATGCACTTGCTTGACAGATTCGTATTAAAGTACACTGAACAAAAATATAAACGCAACATGTAAAGTGTTGGTCCCATGTTTCATGAGCTGAAATAAAAAATCCCAGAAATGTTCAATATGCACAAAAAGCTTATTTCTCTAATTTTACATTTACATTTACATTTTAGTCATTTAGCAGACGCTCTTATCCAGAGCGACTTACAGTTAGTGAATACATGTTTTTTTATACTGGCCCCCCGTGGGAAACAAACCCACAACCCTGGCGTTGCAAACACCATGCTCTATCAACTGAGCTACATCCCTGCCGGCCATTCCCTCCCTTACCCTGGACGACGCTGGGCCAATTGTGCGCCGCCCATGAGTCTCCCGGTCGCGGCCGGCTGCGACAGAGCCTGGATTCGAACCAGGATCTCTAGTGGCACAGTTAGCACTGCGATGCAGTGCCTTAGACCACTGCGCCACTCAGGAGACAAATGTTCTCAAATGTTTTGCACACATTTGTTTAAATCCCTGTTAGTGAGCATTTCTCCTTTGCTAAAATAATGCATCCACCTTATCATGAAGCTGATTAAACAGCATGATCATTACACAGGTGCACCTTGTGCTGGGGACAATAAAAGGCCACTTTAAAATGTGCAGTTTTGTCACACAACACAATGGCACAGATGTCTCAAGTTTGGAGGGAGCGTGCAATTGGCATGCTGACTGCTAATTTGGCAGTACGTCCAACCGGCCTCACAACTGCAGACCACGTATAACCACGCCAGCCCAGGACCTCCACATCCCGCTTCTTCACCTGCATGTTGTCTGAGGGGGGGTGGGGGTGGTGCTGAGGAGTATTTCCGTTTGTAATAAAGCCCTTTTGTGGGGAAAAACTCATTCTGATTGGCTGGGCCTGGCTCCCCAGTGGGTGGCAACAATAGTTTAGGCCTTTACCTAAGAGTAGTTCTACTAGTTCGATTCTCCTATCTTGTATTTTGTGACAATGGGTGCTGTATTACTGGGAAAGCAGTCGTGAACTGTCACTGGGGAGAGTATCATGGATGTCTTGGTTGGGTGGTTATGCAGATGTATCATACAAATGTTCAAGTGCAGCTTCAGCTTGGTTATAGAGAATGTGCTCCCTTTGTGCAATAAGACAAAAGAGCAGCATGTTGACAAGGACCTACACAGGTAATTATTTTGACTATTTGTCTTATTTAAGCAATTTCACCTGGCACCTATCTTTTGGTTTCTGTATATTCAGTAGCCTAAATACAATATTAGTTCAGTCAAGGAACAAGTGGAAAGTCTAAAGAAAACCTAAACCAGAAGCATAGCTAAGTATCATTTTGGTAACAGACTGCTAGTACTTCAATCTAACTTCTCACATCCATCAGTTGTCTAACACACACTTTTGGTTTGATATGTACAGACATGGATTCTCTTTGTGTGTGTGTACCTGGTTGACTGCCAGGGCTTGTCTTGGCTGGACTCCTGCTGGCTGTGGTCTGCCAGGAAATTGATAAAGATGTGGAAGAGACAAATTACCCTTCAAACCCACAAAGAGAAAAAGGAGCTAATGGACTTTTTGGGCATAAAAAAAGAGGCAAGGTCATCAAAACACTTTCCAAAAACAGTTAATATATTATCCCGTAGGTGGCAAACATGTAAAGCAATTCAAAATGTAGCAGGGGGTGGCATACACTAATGTACGAAAATTGTACTGTGTTGTACTGTACAGTATTGCACTGTGGGAAACTTCTAGATAAGGGCATGCATATAGCTCTACGGCTCTGCCACTAACAGTTTCATACAGTACTTATATTTACCCCTATGACTCATGGTCTGCATCCCAAATGGCACCATATTCCGTTTTTAGTGCACTACTTTTGACCAGGGCCCTGGTCAATAGTAATGCACTATATAGGGAATAGGATGCCATTTGGGACGCTGTTGATCTCTCGCTCCACTGCCCTGGCTCAGGTGCACCTGTTCCCTGTACACTCTGAGGGAAGGCTGGGAGCCAGACGTGAGGGTGAGGTCCTTTGAGACGGTGAAGATAGACCGTCAGCTGCACTGCAGTGACACGCTGGCCCAGCTCTGTACCTCCCTCTGCTTCTCCAGTGCCATGGAGTTAATGAGCAACCAGCCCTGTCTCACTGACCACTTATGTCATCACCTGGGAACACTCACCAAGATGTAGAGATTATAATTAACATACATAATATATATATTATATATAAGATATTATATTATAACATATTGTATATTATGCTACATATGATATATTATGCTACAGCTCTGAATCTCACTCTGTGGTTGGTTGTGTGTTACGGGAAGAGAACCATAATTCTATGAGACGTCCTCACATACAGTAGGACATAAATTCAGTTACTCTCAATACAGGTAATGAAAAAAAATGTATTAGGCTTTTTTTTTGTTGCTAAAACATCCCATTCCAGAATGTTACCAACAGTTTGAAAATAATGAAAATCAGTCATAGGTTCCCAAAGCAACCATTTCCTGACCATGTATGGTAAAATAATAGTGCCTGCTGTTTGTGTGTCTGTCCACCAGGTGGGGCTGGTGATCCGGAGCGCTCAGTGCTTTCTGCCCAAAGTGATCTGGCACACCACGTACAAAGTCACATGTGAAGGCCATTATACAGACAGTGATATTTGAAGAGATGGGTACAGAGTAGACTGTACATCACCATCACACACAGACAGACCACAGATCTACTAAAACTCTTCACTTCTTCTGGACACTAATCAAAACTCTGAATACTCATCATTGCACATTCTTTAATTGTGGTTAATAATGTTAGGATGTACATTCATGTCATGGAAAATTGTCATATCAAATATAAATAATGGAGTGAGTAAACTTGTTGAAATTGAGGATTAAACACAGAAAATAAGTGTGTTTTGGCTGATAATAATAATATTTGGGTTGTATGATGATTATTAATATAACATGAAATTAAATTTGATCATCAACTTGTTCAGTTGATTTTTACAAGTGCTTCTTCATTCCTAAATATTTCAATATAAAATGTATTTGATTATTCTAGATTACACATCACATGTAAAGTATATAACACAAAACGCAACAAAGTTATTTGAACTGTGGCAGGTTGAAGACTTTCTCTCAGAGTCGTTCTCATTTCAGCACAGTCTTTGCTGTGGTCAGCATTCTCAGTGGCAGCACATCCTCCACCCATTCGTTTGGAGAGATCATCATTCGTTCCCATAGAGCTACCTCATCAGCATTCGAGTCCATCCAATTCACCACCGCCCCATAACTTCTGCCTGTAGAGAGAGATGGAGAGAACCTAGGCTTAGCCAGTGAAGTCAATGGAATAAAATGGATGTTCAGTACCTGTGTTTCTGTGGAGAAATCTATAATATAATATAAAATCATATAATAGAATAGTCCATTAGTACCTGTGCCAGGCCCCAGTCTTAGACCCCCTAGGAGGTTACTGGCCAGCTTGTCACGGTCCCACACGGTCAGCTCCACGCAGGCCTCCTTCAGGTCATCCTGTCTGAAGCCGTCGTACACCATGGTGTGGTTAAACACCGGCTCCACCGTCCTCCTCAGCACCCGCGTCTTCTGACGACTCTTTCTGCTTGTGTCCGGGAGCACGAAGCTACGGAGGAGTCAGGCAGTCTCACAAGTCAGGCAATTGTTTCAGAAATATTACAAAGTAAATGTGAAAGGCTGGAAATTGAGGCTAAGAAGGGGATATGTCTTATGATAGGCCTCCACATTTTCTGTTCTCCCCAGATGCTGTAGTTGTCCTTGATCATATTTAGCAATTCATACATTTCAAATGTTGATATTATTTATGGCATGTGTTGTACGTACCACTTTACATATGGGTCGATGGTGGCCCCTCTGATGAGGGGAAGGTTCTTGCAGTCTTTCACCCAAATGTGAACCTCACCTTTGTTAGAGGGGGGATCCTTGCCTGGGCCTAGTGGTCAGAATCAAGCATGATTCAGTGAACTTGTGTACACTGTATCTTTCTATTGCACAAAAGTAATATTTTAATGTATGGTAACTAGTTACCGAAAGCAACACATTTTCTTGATAAAATATACCTTTTCTATTTAATAAATTGCTTATAGACACTGGTGACGGTTAAGACATGTGAGGCATGCAGACTCTTACTGTGGGAGACTTGAGGCAGGAAGCGTATGGCCAGTTTCATCTCCCCTCTGTCATCTGAGGGCTGCAGACTGGAGGTGGGCTGAGGAGACCAGGGGGAGACAGTCAGCACAGAGAGTACAGTGAGAACACCCCAATTTACTATATAGCACCACCACCTCACTGGACACACTCCAAACTACACCTCCACAACCTACTGTGTATAGCATGTCATGTCACACAATATACATATAACATGTCATGTCACAGAATGCTAACACGCACAGACATTTAAATAAATAGCAAAAGCATAGAGATGGATTTCAGTCTTAGATTAATATTTTGAATGAGACCAGTACACAGACAAAGCAGGTGTGTTGTTTTCTTACCCTGGATTTCAGCGCTAAGTAGTTCATCTGGGTGTGGCCAAAGTCCCATTTGGACAGGTCCACATCCACCTCACCCAGAAAACTGTTCCTGCCAAAGGTGTCGTGGTGCCAGACGGAGAGAATGAGGGTCTGAGTTCGGAGGTACTCTAGACGAAGCCGATACTGATGAAGGAACAGGAGAGAGAGCACTTTATGTCAGACCTGATCTATGTGTAATCATACATTTCTCTATTCAACTTAAATCATATAACGTTTTTAGAAACTCTCTTACTCTGAGGAGCTCGTTGAAAATGGGGTTGACAGTCTTCTTCTTCACAGATGTTTTCCTCTTCCCTAGATTGGCTTTGTCAGGTACCAGGTAACTTTTAACATACCTACAACAAGAAACACAAGAATCATACACACAAAGTACCATGTATTTCAGCAGTGTCCAATGAATCATGGAGTAGTAAATAAGAAAGCAAGGCTATATATTAGGAATTCCCAATATTCAGGGACCATAAGGAGTTCTATCAGGGGCCTAGTATAATAGTTGGTACTGTACTCACGGGTCAGAGCGGCCCCTTTTGGGGTCGACGGCGGCCAGGTCTCGGCACTGAGCCACAAAGATGTGGAACTCCCTGAGCTTCTGAACGTAGTTGATGGAGAACTGGATGTTCCCCTGCACCTCCACACCTCCATAGTCCCCACTGTACATGGTCAGCACACTGCCACTCAGCTAACACACACAGAGTTAAAACCTTTTAAACAGTTTACATAAAACCATAGCCTTTCAGGCAGTTCTCATTAAAATCATGATGTGAAAAACTATCAAATGTGTGGTTAATGGAACAATTAAGAGATTTAATAAGACTGTTAATATTGTATAATCATGATAGTTGGCAATAGAAAATGCCAGTTAAGCTTGGTTAGGCATAAAATGTGCGTGCTTGGAATGTGAACAGTGGTTGCGTGTTAGCAGGGCATGCGTGACGTGAACATACAGAGGACACCGATGCCATGCCAGAGGAGCTGCTGAGGTTAGTCATAGATCTGCCCGTCTTCCGCCTGCCTCCATGGTAACTGTTCTCAGAGGCGGAGTCAGTGTCTCTGCCATCGCTCTAGAACACAGACTGCAGCGCTAGAATGCCCAGTGCACATATAGACATACAGTGTTCTTTGACCTAAAGCGCTCGCATGGAATAAAGCTGTTGTGGCTTTACCTCGTTCTGCAGGAACGAGGGAACAGATTTGCTCATCTTCTTCAAATGTTCAGTGTCAGAGTAGAGGGATGAGGAGGGAGAGGGGAGGGTGGATGCTGAGGGAGGACAGAACAGAGAGAGGGATGAGAGGTTCATTGTTTAAGGTTCCATAATACTCTCATAACCTTATCACAGATCACTTACTGTAGCTATTGAATTACCCAGCAATGCTAGCATTCTACAACATAGAATAAAAAGCCTGTATTCTACATTATACTTGGTATAAACTGTCTAACCCAATATCGACACAAAGGCAAATAAAATGTCCAAGAAAGGTACAAAACAAATCTTAACCATCACTGCTTCGCCTGAAGTCATCAAGGGGAGCTAGTCTTCTTTCTTGTCCTGTAGGGAATGGTGGAAAACAAAGACAGCATGACTTTTTCACCCCAACATGCATTAATACTGGTACCTGAGCCATCCTGACAGCACCACTATAATGCTTGTATAGTGGTTGAGGAGACAAGGGACATTTCTCACGTGGTGGCATGGATGCTGTGATATCCTCAAGACTTTTGGCCAGATTTTGTTGGCGTGCCTGAGCTCTCTTCAATGCCTTCTGTACAGGGTCCTGATCCTCATCATCATTTTCACCTAAAATATCAGACAGAGAAAGAGTTGCTCATACAGTACATGGAGATGCCTTCAACAAAGACCACACATAGACATGTAAAATAAACATGATATGTGGCCTCTTTACACTGATCATTTACACTGAGTGTACAAAACATTAAGAACACCTTCCTAATAATGAGTTACACCCCCCTCCCCCTCCCCCCTTTTGCAGTCAGAACAGCCTCAATTAGTTGGGGCACGGACTCTACAAGGTGTCGAAAGCGTTCCACAGGGATGCTGGCCCATGTTGGCTGGATGTCCATTGGGTGGTGGACCATTCTTGATACACATGGGAAACTGTTGAGAGTGAAAAACCCAGCAGCGTTGCAGTTCTTGACACAAACCGGTGCGCCTGGCACCTACTACCATACCCTGTTCAAAGGCACTTAAATAATTCACCCTCCGAATGGCACACATACACAATTCATGTCTCAATTGTCTCGAGGCTTAAAAATCCTTCTTTATCCTGTCTCGTCCCCTTCATCTACACTGATTGAAGTGGATTTAACAAGTGACATTAATAAGGGATTATAGATTTCACCTGGATTCACCTGGTTAGTCTATGTCATGGAAAGAGCAAGTGTTCATAATGTTGTTTACAGATAGCCAAAGCGTCTCTAGAGTTTTTAAGTTGGAAGAGAAAAATATGTTTGAAGTTGTAGAAAATAATTTGTTTTACTGGCTATATTATAAATATCAACACTCATATAAGTAAACTCAAGAAAGTTCTAGGTGTATCCTGAACAGGAATGCCTAACTCAAACAAAGCAAAACTTGGCTACTAGGCTGTTGGCTCTATCAGAGCACCATGTGATGTCAATAAAGTTACAAAAGCATATCGTTCAACCCACAAATGAAACACAGGCAGCTGATTACCTGCACACACTCTATTTACACTGACACATATAGCCAGACAAGGACACTGCATCCTGGATGCTGCCTCCTCTACAAAAACATCTACAAGAAGATGACTTCACAGGGAACCCAGATAAACAAATAACTATTATATGTTTTCATGATATATCACAGGTTACATAACACTTGTACTAAAACAACAGGGCATTATCGTGTAGATCATCAAAACTCACGGTTTGAACTGGTCCTGGAGTTGGACCAAGTTTCAGACGTGCTGCTCGATGCTCTCTCAGACGCACTGAATGATGACTCTCGTCCGGTGTCATTGCTGCCCTGGTTTGACCAGAGGGCCATGGGGCGCTGGGTTATCTTGCTGCTCCTCCTGATGTAGCGCTCCTCTGAGCCCACTAGGGTGCTGGATCTGACAAGGCCACCACTCAGGTCAAGTTCAGCTCCAGGCGGGCCTTCTGCCTCCCTCTGCTCCTTCGCTGCCGGGGCCAGAGCAGTGTGGACACTGGTCTTCTCTGTAAACCCCAGGTAATGGCGGTAGTCTCTGGGAACAAAGGCCCGAGCGCGAGGGTTCAGAGATTCAGACTCGTCTGATGATTTTGAGGACCTCCTCGGACCAGGAGGTGTGTTCTTGTCAGCACTCTGTCGTCTACCCTGTGTCCTCTTGGGCTGGACAGGACTAATATTCAGTGTCTTTTTAGGGTACAACAGAGAAGTATGGTCCTGTTCCTCATTCATGTATAATGTGAACATACTGGTGGCGCGCCGAAGGGCACTTGCACGTCCACTTCCACTTGAGTTTCCAGAACTGTCTTTTCTAGCTTTGTGAGACCGAGATTCCTTTCCTGAGGTGCTTTGGGGCTTCAGGGCCTTTTCCTCTTTGGTGAAGTCCTGTTCTGAGCCCGTTGTTACCTGGGGGACACCAGGGGCTCTTTGCTGCTCAGACTCTATGGTGATTTGAGGTGAGAAGTTGGCTTTAGTGTCAATCATAGCTCCTGATCCCACCCCAACTGATCTAGACTTTGACTGGTGCTCTTTAGTGTCAATCATAGCTCCTGAACCCGCCCCAATCAATTTAGACCTTGACTGGTGCTCTCTGTCTTTGTTCCCCCTGACTAAAGATGGAGGGGGAGATGGAGAAGATGGTGAAGAAGGTGAAGATGTTTTCTTGAGCCGGCTCTCATCCAAAGGTGGTCTAGCACTGACCTTTTGTGACTGACTGTAGGCAGATTTGCTGTAGAAATCAGGGTCAACACATTGCTTTAACTCCAGCGTTGAGTTCTGGGCATCCATTGGCTCCTTATTTTTGGGGCTTTTGGGTTTGTCAGAAGAGATCGGCCCACTGCTATTCAAAGTGGCCTCACCCCAGAAGTTGCAGAGATTCTTAAACTGCGAGCGGTTTGCTCCGAGGCCTGGGGACGACTTCTCCAGTCTCTGATCCATTGTGAAGACTGTGAAATTCTGTATTTTTCTGTCAGAGGAAAGATTGGAATCCCCTTCGTGGTCGACATCAGATTCATTGCAGATTGACCTCAGGTCAAACTCAGACTTGGTGAACCTTTTATTCAGCCTTCCTAGGGCCAATGATGGAGTTTGAGTCACATTGGCGTCCCCTGCCTCTTTTGATTTACCAGTGTAAAATATAGGCCTGTTCTTCTCCTGCTCCCAGAAGGACTTGAGCTGCTTTAAATTGTCTGCTTTGCTGTCCTGCCGAGGGGGAACCTGTTTCAGGGTGTGTGGGCTATTTCCTTTATCTTTAATGGTGTGGTCTTGTTTTTTAGTGAACACACTTGACTGTACATTGACATTGCTCTGCTGAGTTTTGGGGGCAAACTGTTCACTTTCTTTTCCAACCTTGTGTCTAGACTGATCGAACTTCTCTGAGTCTGGGCTGGTTGTAGGCTGAAAGAGTAGTTCAGGCAGTAGATTGGGACTGGACTTGGACATGACCCTGGATGGCATTTCAGGTTGGGGTTTTGGTATGGCAGGTGAGAGCTTCACATGCTGGGGGTTGACTGTGGGCTGGAGGAGCAGTTCAGGCTGAGGACTGAGTGTTGATGGGGAGAATCTCTGACGTTCTGGGCTGAGTCTGGACTGGGACAGCGTGTCAGGCTGAGGATGGAGTCTACTTAGGTAGAGTATTTCTGCCTGTGAGCTTCTTCTGTCTACTGTCATTGGGGATCTTCTGAGATCTTCTTCTGTTAAAGTCAAATTGTCCTCCTCACTTTGAGCCCCAGGGGTGTAGCTATCATCCCAGGTTGGCAGTGTACGTATCTCTATAGAGGGAGAAATAACAACACTGTTTTTGGGTCTGTATACCTCCTGTTTGTAAGGGCTAACACTCGGCTGAACACTAGCAGCGCTTTGTTGAGTATCTAGGTTTAACCGTTCATTCTCTTTTCCATCCCTGAGATTCTTCCTGGATGACCCCTCCACACCGTATGACTCTGAGCCAGTAACAGTTCTATGAGACTTCTCTGCTAGTTCTCTCTCTTTCTCTTTCTCCATTGGTTTCTGTCCTTTGTCAGTGATTGATCTGCTGATGAGTATCTTGGGCCCAGTGTTGCCCTTCTCCCAGAAGGACTTCAAGTGGGAGATTTTGGGTGGTTGGTTCTCATCTTGGATCTCCTCCTTCTGTTTGACTTCCTGTGTTGTGACCTGTGCTCCAGCAGCTTTGGCTAGAGGGATACTGACCTTCTTCACATCCTCTTGCCTATCTATCACATCCTCTTCTCTATCTAACATCACTTGCTTGAACTCCTTCCTACATGCTGCTCTCAGCCTCTCAGCCTCAGACATGCGTATCTTGGGCTGGTATGATCTTTCTGTATTCAGAGGTGACTGGTCCGGAGGTTGATCCATAGAGGATTCAGACCGAGATCCATCCTTTACCTCTGGTGTTAAACACACTGACACTCCTTCTCCAATACTTTGCATATCCAGGCTGGGGTCAACATGTAGAAGCTTTCTCTTCACATCTGGAGCTTTCCTCTCTGTCTGCTGAGACCTGCTCTCAAAGGTAGGCCGATCATCTGTATCTGTTTTCACAGATCCAATCACGTCTTCCTCCATGTCTGGTTGATTGCTCTCAGTCTCCAACCAGTTGTTGCTGTCTGTGCTGCGGCTGAACCACTCTAAGACTTTAGCGATGGAGTTGCCCTCCTCCCCTGTGGGTTGGGGACTACGTGGTGCTGATTTAGAGGCAGGTTTGTGGCCTACTGGTTTTTTATTAACATATTTATCAGGCTTATCCCCAGAGTTATGGAGTTCATGATGTTTCCATTGATCTGAAAAAAGAAAGTTCATAAAAGTGTTATGATGAATGAGGAAATAAGCTGAAAAACTAAAGATTAGACATTTCAACAGTGGCCTAGTAATACCCTTCATCATTAGTGAGAATTCCATTGATTGATCACGTTCATGTATAAACAGTACCCTTGGGCCAAGAACTTTAATTACTTTGAATTCATTTTCACACTGGTTTTAGATTGTAGTGTGGGCTCCATGAATTCTCACTTTCTGTCTTTGAACTTACCCACAGTGCTTGGAGGCAGACTAAGGTCCTCCTGTCTGAATGCGGTGCCCACACTGTGGGTTCTTATCATCTCCTTGTCCTGCATCTCAATGAGTTGAAAGGCTGCATGCTGAGAAGGCTGGTGGTGAGTAGGGGCTGTTAGTTCTGAGCTCGGAGAGAGTGGTATGGACAGAGGTTTTGAAAATGGACCATCAGACCTCTCTCTGCCCTGAGGAGGACCCACACTGACAAACTCTCTCTGGATGAGACCATCGCTACCTTCACTCTTCTGACGACCTGTGTAGGATTTATCTGTGTGTCTGTCATTATCAGAGTGTGTGGCTGGTCTAAGGTCCAACAGTCTGAGAGGCTTTCGCTCAATCAGGAGCTTCAATGGAACTTTGGAACTCTCAGTTTCCGTAAGAGGAGAGGGGGTCCTCACTAGGGGTCTGACAAGTGAGTTATCTGAGGGCTCCTCTGCTGTCCTCTCTCTCTCATGGGCCTCTTTCTCGCTCTCCAGCTCAGTATTGGTGTAGACTAGGGTTAAATCCTTCAGTGGCTTATGGGAGAGGTGACTCAAAGTGTTCAGTTGCTCACTGGAGGGAGATACTGGAGTTGCATTGTTCTGTAACTCAGAGATGGGAGTTGGATACATTTTCTGTGACTGAACGTCCAAGGCCCCCTGGCTAGACTGGTTGGAGCCACAGCTGGAGCCATATTGGAGACTTCCCTGAGGGGCAGGGGTGATGACCTTTGACCCAGCTGGATGACCCTGCTGCCCAGGGACGGAGACATCACTGCCTGTGAGAGAGCTCTGAGAGTGCCGGGAGAGGAAGGTTCTCTTCTTGGGCACGGGCCTGAATCCTAGAGAGGACCCCTCGGAGGTGGCAGAGTCTGCTGAGTTGTGACTGGTGGAGTCTGCTGTCATGTGAATCTTCAGGGGAGATAAGGGCTCTGTGTGTGTGAGAACACAATGAGGAGATTATGATTATTTACTGTGATAAATTCTTGCCATGTCACAGGCCTGGTTGGCATCGGTATAACCTTACTACAGATGTAGGTTCTTAATTTGACCTATATTGCCACAGCAACAGGATTTGAATGTTTAGTCCATAATGTTGCTTGATCGTGATTATGCTATTAGCTAGCCAAAAGTAGGCTAAATGAAAAGTGCAATACTGTTAATATAGCCGTGTGTTTTTTGTGAATTTATGTAAATCACGAAGCTCATCTGCAGTGCAGGAACATTCTCTGCAACAAAATAATTAAGATCCTACATCTGTAAAGCACTATTGTAAATCAGCCAAAATATGTTCTCAGAGCATTCTGAAAGATCATGTTACTCGATTTGACTCAATCTCCTATTCTTCAATGTACCTGTATGTTTGCATAATGCTTGATTGTGTAAAAAGGTGTATGCACTGCACTCTAACCTGCTTCAGATGCTTTCTCAGCCTCTTGATTTCCATTGGATAACAGTTTTTCTGTCTTCTCTACCTCCAGAATAAGGGATGCTCGATTGAAAGGATTGTGCCTTGGCTGGAATGAGAATAAGAAAATTATTAGGAAATGCAATTAGTTTATGATTCTATATTTCATAATATTGTAAAAGTCATACTGTGATATGGTGATTGAGAACAGCATGAAAATACTTTGTTTGTTTATTCTGTTCATGCGTCACATATATTCTCTGCAAATGAAATCTCACATACCCTTCCCGGTGACTGCACCACTGAATTCAATCTCTCTTTCTCTGCATTTGATATACTGAGGCTTTCGCTGCAAAGGAGACAGAATGATCACATCAGAATAGAATAGGAATTGGGGTTTTATACTATAGATGAGTAGCCCTCAGAGCACCAGGATACATTATACTGGATGTCAAATCAGATGGACATTGGGGCCACTGTTACACTGTGGCCTTGTAAGGAAAGGGCTTAGTATTTGCACTTCCTCATTCAATTCCTGAGCACCTCTGTGACCGGCTGTTCAGTGAACAAGCCTCCCGCATAACTGATGCCTGCTCACATTAATTGTGACATCAAAGGGAGGCAAGGCTATGGAAGAGCCGACTCACCTAGAGAGCTGGCTGTTGCCCACTGGGAGTCAGGGAGGTCAACACAGCCCATATGACCTCATGCATAGCATGCCAAACTCACCAAGCTTCACTACAAGACTAACAGAAAGCTTCACTTTGTATTTACTTTATTTACGGTTCAAATACAAGTGACTGGGCAGAGAATCATACTGGCACGTTACCTGTACAATAACAGCCACACATAAAATGTCATGCCTCTCTAATTGAATTACCAGCTTCTCAAAATAATCACTTTTTATAGCATTCCCATAGTGACTGACTCCTAGCCTCGTGAGACCACATCCTGGTAATATAACAGAGCAGACAGATTCCATGTAAGCAGTGAGCACCACCTATGTTGACTCAAACTGATATTGAGTCATGAGACACACCTAAGACACCCACGCACGCGCGCATGAGACTGGGAAGAGTAATGGGCTACAGTAGAGAGAGAAATGGGTTAGGAATGAGGAAAGAGGGGTGGGAGGTGTGGTGCAGTGCAGCAGTGGATCACCTGTTCTTCCGGGGCTGAGTTGGTGCCTCCAGGAGCCTGGCAGGTTTTGGAGGGGGGGTGATGTCTGAGACTTTACTGCTGACTGCTCTGGGTCTGGACAGAGACCCATCTGCAGGACAGACAGACAGACAGACAGACAGACAGACAGACAGACAGACAGACAGACAGACAGACAGACAGACAGACAGACAGACAGACAGACAGACAGACAGACAGACAGACAGACAGACAGACAGACAGACAGACAGACAGACAGACAGACAGACAGACAGACAGACAGACAGACAGACAGACAGACAGACAGACAGACAGACAGACAGACAGACAGACAGACAGACAGACAGACAGATAATACAGTAAGTGCTTACAGTACACTCTCTATAAACTCAATAACCCATATCTGCTGATGATCTGAACATACTCTACAAACCCGATATCATAAACTTCACATATTAATACAACGTTTAGTACTAAATACAGTACCTTTGCGGCCTGACTTTGAACTCAAAACAGTGTGGTTTGGTAGCACCCCTCCCTATACATTCTACTCTGATGTATGGCTTTCATGATACGGCAGTATGTGTGTACTGCACATCTTTATCTTTGCGTGAGAATGCCTTACTGTATGCAGTGCTCAATTAGTGTTTGAACAGTGTTGTCGACCCACCTAAAGAACCTGCTTTCCTCTGCTTCATGGAGGCCAGGATGACTTCGGAGCCATGGATCTTATCCCTGTGTCTCAGAGACTTGGCCTCGTAAAACCACTCTCCTGTCAGGTACTTGAGCCTGCTGTCCACTGGGGCGCTGGTTTTCTGCAGCTGCCTGAAGGGAAAAACACACCCAGGTACATTACAGTATACAGGGTATGGTACAGTTACCCATTAAACACATTACATAAGCACAAGAGGTCATGGCTAGAACACAGTTCAGTCAAGGATGTGATTACCTTTAGGTAATGCCATTGATTTATTCTGGTTGAGAGACACACTATAGGCTAAACGTTGACGGGAAAAGGTACATTTACCACCACATGAATTAACAATCTAACCCAATAGACATGGGAACACAATGCAGCGCTTATGCCAAATAGTTCACATTCTTTGGGAGGAGAAAAAACGTATTTCATTCAATCAATATTAAATGAGGGAAAGCTCAACAATGATTTCCCTTTGAAATCGTTGTTGGTGATTAAGCAAGACGTTTATGCTGGACATGCACTGAAATTACATACAGTATACGCCTTTATAGTCAAGTGAACAAGCGAGTTTGACCAAGACAGTGACACCGTTTCTAGTTTCTATTCATGGTCGTTCTGTGTAACTCTACTCTCATATTATGGGGGGAAACATAATTCCTTGGGTAAACCACCACAGGCAACCACCTGAAGCTGCAGCATATCTGTTTGAACACAAGTCCTCACTAATGCCACCTCATATATAACACACTTTATTAGATTACGGAAGTGATATCAGGTTTCTAATCAAATAATGTTTAATTGCATTTGTTTACTTTTCAAATGTGCAAACTATAGAAAAGGCTCAACTGGATCTAGAGGATGAATCTTTGAAAAGCTGCAACGCCTTTGTTGTTTGCCAACGTTCTTGTGAAACATAATTCTGTTACAATAAGAGAAACAGTGCTTATGATTGGGAATCGCAAAGGTTTTGCCATTAGCAGGGTTAGGACTCATCGTTCCTTTTACATTTTACATTTCAGTCATTTAGCAGACGTTCTTATCCAAAGCAATTTAGCAGGCGTTCTTATCCAGAGCAACTTACAGTTAGTGCATTCATCTTAAGATAGCTAGGTGGGACAACCACATATAATGTTGCTGGACCCCAGGATGAGTAACTGCTGCCTTGGTAGCAGCTAATGGGGATCCTTAATAAATACAAATATCACAGTCACAGTATGTACATTTTTCCTCAATCAAGAAGCTATCAGCAAAGGGAGCTTCAGGAGGAACCTGGTTCCACAATTGGGGTCCCAGGACAGAGAAAAGCTTTGACTGGGCTGAGCGGGAGCTGCCCTCCCGTAGGGGTGGAAGGGCCAAGAGACCAGACGTGACAGAACTAAGTACTCAGGTTGGGGTGTAGGGTTTGAGCATAGCCTGAAGGTGGGGAGGGGCAGTTCCTCTTGCTGCTTTGTAGGCAAGTACCATGGTCTTGTAGTGGATGCGAGCTTCACCTGGAAGCCAGTGGAGTGTGCGGAGGAGCGGGGTGACATGGGAGAACTTGGGAAGGTTGAACACCAGGTGGGCTGCAGCATCCTGGATAAGTTGCAGGGGTTTGATGGCACAAGGGGGAGCCCAGTCAACAGCGAATTGTAGTAGTCCAGACGGGAAATGACAAGTGCCAGGATTAGGACCTGCGGCACTTCCTGTGTGAGGTAAGGTCGTACTCTATGGATGTTGTAGGACATGAACCTGCAGGAGCGAGTCACTGCTTTGATGTTTGCAGAGAACAACAGGGTGTTGTCCAGGGTCACACCAAGGTTCTTTGCACTCTGGGAGGTGGACACCGTGGAGTTGTCAACCGTGATGGAGAGGTCTTTGAGCGGGCAGACCTTCCCCGGGAGGAAGAGCAGCTTCGTCTTGTCGAGGTTGAGCTTGTGGTGGTGGGCTGACATTCAAGCTGAAATATCTGCCAGGCACGCAGAGATGCATGTCGCTACCTGGGTGTCAGAAGGGGGGAAGGAGAAAAGTAGTTGAGTGTCATCCGCATAGTAAAGATAGGAGAGACCTTGTGAGGATACGACGGAGCCGAGTGACTTGGTGTATATAGAGAAGAGAAGAGGGCCTAGAACCGAGCCCTGGGGGAAACCAGTAGGGAGAGATACGTGGTGCAGACAAAGATCCTCTCCACGTCACCTGGTACGAGCATCTGCCAGGTAGGATGCAATACAAAAGTGTGCAGAGCCTGAGAAGCCCAGCCCTGAAAGGGTGGAGAGGAGGATCTGATGGTTTACGGTGTCGAAGGCAGCGGATAGATCTAGGAGGATGAGAACAGAGGAGAGAGAGTCAGCTTTGGCAGTGCGGAGAGCCTCCGTGACACAGAGAAGACCAGTCTCGGTTGAGTGACCTGTTTTGAAGCCTGACTGGTTAGGGCAAGAAGATTGTTCTGAGAGAGATAGCGAGAGAGTTGGTCAGAGACAGCACACTCAAGTGTTTTGGAAAGAAAAGAAAGAAGTGATACCGGTTGTAGTTTTTGACATGAGAGGAGTCGAGTGTTGGTTTCTTGAGGAGGGGAACGACTTGGGAATTTTGAAGTCAGAGGGGACGCAGCCAGTGGTCAAGGATGAGTTGATGAGGGAAGTGAGAAGTTCTCCAGAGATGGTGATTCAGAGATTGTCGGGCGGCCGGACCTCACTACTCGCAGGATTTCATCTGGAGAGAGAGGGGAGAAAGAGGTCAAGGCGTAGGGTAGTTCTTTGTGAGTGGGACCAGTGGACTCAATAGGCTGAGTGAATGAGGAGCGGATGTCATCAACCTTCTTTTCAAATTGATTGGCAAAGTAGTCCGCAGAAAGGGAGGAGGGAGGGGGTGGAGGATTAAGGAGGGAGAGGAAGGTGGAAAGGAGAAGGTAAACAACCTTGGTCATGTGAAAGGGGGGAGCATATTATTACACACGATTGGCACTAATCCTTTTACACTAAGGCCACAGACAAGTCAACCAAACAGAGACAGTCTCCAGTCTTCTACTGTTAGAAATAAACTTGTCTGGCCAACTCCATTTCAGAATCAAAGTGAATAGGCCTTTGTTTCTCGACTTTTTTCTCACTGTGGAACTGCTTTGACAAGAAGGCTTAAGACTGAAGCTAATTTAAGATACCCAGTTGTACTTAATTGGCACGTCTGAATGTGTAATGACATGACAAGAAATTCTAAGTCTGTCTGAGTATACATCAACACAACGTTGTTTATGTAGTGGATGTGCCTCAGGATTCCATGGTTAAACGCAGTGAGGTGTATCTCTGTGTTCTACCTCAGAGGGTATCTATTTCGGACCATTGAGCCTGCATTTTTGTCTACCACGTGGTTCTGTAAAGTTGAATTGGAGGGATAATCTAATTGCTTATCTCACATTGAGGCCTCTCTGTGGTGGAGGTTATGTCCGTATCCGGCTGAGTTGTTTTATATTACAGACAGACAAACATCCCCTCACCAGGCTTTTTACCTCTCCCACACAGGTGGGGGGAGGTTGACAGAGAAACCACTCTCCTCATAGAATGAAAGGGAACGAATAGGCACTAAAGAAATTACAAAATATTGAATACAAAACATTATCTAAAACAATATAGCATATTTACATGCAATTCACAAAGCATGTATTTGATTACATAACTATAATTTCAGCTAGAGGGTGGAGATGCTAAGTGGGGCAACACTAATGTTATCAAAATAAGATGTGGAAACTAGGAAATACACTAATGACACAGTCATGGTTCAGAGCTGTGAGAATATGGCTATCACAAACTCACTTGATCCTCTCCTCCTCTGCTTTCTTCAGCTCTTCGTCTCTCTTCAGCACAGTCATGATCATCGACTGTTCCTCCTCCGTCAGATGGCTCAGGTCTATCATGGTGACTCAGGTTCTCTCTCGCCCGGGCTGGTGTGGAAAGGGCCTGGAGTTGAGCCCTATGGCCTGTTGAGGCAGTCAGTGATGGGATGTGATGGGCAGCGTATGTCTCTAAGCTCGGAGCTCCAGAGGCATCGTTCAGGTAGCTGGCACCTGCAGAGTTGATAAGAATATTCAAGGTGTGAGCTCCTGGAGGCTTTGTTTTTATCTTCCCACAATTCCATCATAGTAAAACAGTGCCCCTAAGCAAAAACAGACATATGACCAAAGACTTGAGTGTGTGATCATTGCATGGCCTTGCTCTTGAGGAAAACATTTAAAAGTGGGTGCTTTTGATCTGATGCTACAGGACAGTACATTTTGTCCTTAGGTAAGGTGATAAACTTGTTCATGTCAAGGTTCTATATGGAGAACGTTGTGAAGACTGTAAATGAACAGTAAATCGTGCTGGATCCAACACTAATTCAGTAAATCATGCTGGATCAAACACTAATTCAGTAAATCATGCTGGATCAAACACTAGTTCAGTAAATCATGCTGGATCAAACACTAATTCAGTAAATCATGCTGGATCAAACATTAATTCAGTAAATCATGCTTGATCAAACCCTCTAATTCATTTAAGTTGATGTGATTTGTCTCTGTGGTCACATGGACTAAGTGCACTCTGTATTATTTTCTCTCAACTACAAACAACTCTGATGGTGCAGTCAGTGGGTGGAGAGTTTAATTATTGTGCTTTAGATGTTTCTGAACACTGGGGTGATCAACGCCTTGTTAAATAAATCGCATACAATGAGTGAAATAAGGTAGTAATAAATCATGATTTACAGTCATTGAGAAACAAAAGACTATGTTGAGTTGACAGTCAGCTGAAATCAGCATGAATGTAATTTTGCCATACCTATGCTGGGTATAATTAAGCCCTAAATAGATAAGGATTTATTCCTGTGTAAACCATCTGACGAATAGGCTGCGTTCACACAGGCAACCCAATTCTGATATTTTTTCAATAATTGGTCTTTTGACCAATCACATCAGATCTTTTCACATATATCTTTTTCAGAGCTGATCTGATTAGTCAAGTCAAATTATTGAAAAGATTATCAGAATTAGGCTGCCTGTGTAAATGCAGCCACAGAATGCCATGTTGAAACTCCTCATTCAAACGTTTTTTTCTCCCTTTCTCATTGAAATTCTGCTGACTTCCATTAGTTTGAATTTAGACGGGTTGCCTACCTTACTTAAATCAATCACATCTCTATAAATACATGTTATAGTTTGTTCTTCACAGTAAGCTACATTCAAAGACACAATTTAAGTATTGTTATCACCAACTCGATTATAAAGTAAAATCAAAGTGATGTTGACACTAGAATTCACTGTCAAATGAATATTCAGAGACATGATCCTTGATCCATAAACCAACTTTTGCACATTATCTACTAGACAACTAGAGTTGAACAGCTGTCCCACAGATCACCCCTCCTTTTGACTTCAGGTCAACTCTGATAGAAGTTATGAATATTTTGTCCTCCATTATCAACAGTAAACATAATGTAGTGTCAACTGCCTTAATACAACACCAGCAACCTTGTGAAGACTTCTTAGTGAAAATGGCTTATAAATATTGGGCAAACAGCTAAAAAGCTTACAGCTAAACATTTGTCAGATAAAAAGATACATGAATATGGAAGCCTCATATGCATGCTACCTGGGCTCTGTCCTGTCTCATGGATTTGGATCACATTATAGTTCAATGTAAAACAATTCATAATTTCATATTTTTGGTCTTAACTGTCAGTAAATCAAAGAGGTAGGCTTTTTTAAATATGTATTTTATAGTAGCCTAGTAGCAGAGAACAGTCGATAACCTAGAAAAAGGAAATGTTTTGTGCAATGTGATGTTTTTGCCTGCTTAATCTCATAACTTAACCTCATAACTAAATTAGTGTAATTGGATAATTAAATTGCATAGACTCATGTCTTCTTCTCAGAAAGATACGCACTTAAGCTGCAGTATCTTAGACCTCTTTTAAATAAGTTTACATTTGTTGTATATAGGAAAACAATGAGATCAGCCTTGTAAAGAAAAATAACATTTTTATTAAGATTATTATTTATATATTTTAATATGCACCTGCACATGTCCACGACATGATGCTGGCTTGAAAAACACCATCCTAAAATGTAGCCCAAATAAAGAATAAGAAAGAATACACAGCAAAGGTCTCTGAAGTCTAAATTCATTGTATGACATTTTCTGTCCAGCCTTAGGACATTTAAGGCAGCTCGTATGATTACGTTCACAAGCGTTGCCTTCGACACCGTTGGGATAGACCGCGAATAAAAATCCTGTGTTATGTCAATAACTTCAGTTTTATTGTTTCCCAAATGTCATTGTGGGTAAGGCTTCACAGCGCCCTTATGTTTTTCCTCATCAGACGTTAAAATCTAAAGAACAATAGATTGATATCTTACTTTCTAACTTTTGAGAGACAAATACAGACCAACCAAAAAATTATAAATAAAAAGTTTTACCTTGTTTTGGAAGCTACCTCTGTCTGTAGGGAAATTCAGACATCCACTGGAGGTAGGTGGGTCAGACTCAGGGAGGTGTGCGCTTCCCTCAAACGGGTTAAGTGCCCATAATGACTCGTGGTCACTGTTCAACTTCAACAGTCAACTGTGACAGCAGACTATACTGTAGCAACTTCAACAAGTGTATGAATAGCTAACACCATTGAAAAGACAGTTGTCCAATTAAACGAGTGGTCGTTTTTTCATACGGGTATCTTTAACATAGGCTAATGTAATTGTATAACAATCGTATTACACTGTGCCAATGCGACAATGAAAATAAGTACAATGGTGTACAATTTACACAAGAGGAACACTAACAAGGTGCTAATGTATTATCCGTGCCATTTGGCATGTTCCCTGCCAGTTGTGACATTCTTAACCTCAAGATCCAACCCACAAAGTCAAGATGATTGTTGAGATAATGGCAGTGAGTCTGTTTGTCAAGGAGGAGTGTAAGCCTGAGGCTTAATGGAGCACAGGTGTTTGAAACACCTGGCGTGTACAAATGCAAATGTGAAAATTGATAAACACAACACTGTAAATAGTCTCCAAGTGATTGCATACATGCTGTTGGAGTAATTTTCCTTTAATCCAAATGCAGTATACAGGTATACAGTAAACTAGAATAACCACACAGGTCTGTTTTATAGAAATTGGACACTGGGTGGCAGTCTTGTTCAGATAAAGTATAAAAAGAAAGCTGCAAAGAATTTTAGTGGAGGGGCCCCATGAAATGCCCTACAAGGAAGCCGAGGACATAAAATATTAAAATACAGGAGAAAGGCAAAAGGTCATCCAAAAGCTAAGAGAATCCACATACACTACATGACCAAAAGTAGGTGGACACCTGCTCATCGAACATCTCATTCCAAAATCATGGGCATTAATATGGAGTTGGTCCCCCCTTTGCTGCTATAACAGCCTCCACTCTTCTGGGAAGGCTTTCCACTAGATGTTGGAACGTTGCTGCCTTTCAGCCACAAGAGCATTAGTGAGGTCGGGCACTGATGTTGTGCGATTAGGCCTGGCTCGCAGTTGGCGTTCCAATTCATCCCAAAGGTGTTCGATGGGTTTGAAGTCAGGGCTCTGTGCAGGCCAATCAAGTTCTTCCACACCGATCTCGACAAACCATTTCTGTATGAACCTCGCTTTGTGCACAGGGGCATTGTCATGCTGAAACAGGAAAGGGCCTTCCCAAACTGTTGCCACAAAGTTGGAAGCACAGAATCGTCTAGAATGTCTTTGTATGCTGTAGGGTTAAGAGGTCCCTTCACTGGAACTAAGGGGCCTAGCCCGAACCATGAAAAACAGCCCCAGACCATTATTCCTCCACCACCAAACTTTAGTTAGCACTATGAATTGGGGCAGGTAGCGTTCTCCTGGCATCCGCCAAACCCAGATTCGTCAGTCGGACTGCCAGATGGTGAAGCGTGATTCATCACTCTAGAGAACGCGTTTCCACAGCGCCAGAGTCCAATGGCGGCGAGTTTTACACCACTCCAGCCGACGCTTGGCATCGCGCATGGTGATCTTAGGCTTGTGTGCGGCTGCTCAGCCATGGAAACCCATTTCACAAAGCTCCCAACAAAGTTATTTTGCTGACGTTGCTTTCAAGGGCAGTTTGGAACTCGGGAGTGAGTGTTGCAACCGAGGACAGATTATTTTTATGCGCTACACGCTTCAGCACGCAGCAGTCCCGTTCTGTGCGCTTGTGTGGCCTACCACTTTGCGGCTGAGCCGTTGTTGCTCCTAGAAGTTTCCACTTCACAATAACAGCACTTACAGTTGACCGGAGCAGCTCTAGCAGGGCATACATTTGACAAACTGCCTTGTTGGAAAGGTGCCACGTTGAAAGTCACTGAGCTCTTCAGTAAGGCCATTCGACTGCCAATGTTTGTCTATGGAGACTGCATGGCTGTGTGCTCGATTTTATACACCTGTCAGCAACAGGTGTGTCTGAAATAGCCGAAACCACTAATTTGAAGGGGTGTCCACATACTTTTGTATATATAGTGTATATACTAACCGTAGTGCCAAAGATGCCATCACTGTTGCAATATTCACCAACACATTTAAAAAAAGTTTAAGAACATCACTTTGTGGAAGCTGCTCTTTATTTTAAAAAACAAAAACAAAACAAAAAACACTCAATGTCTGCTACAAGTTCTAATTACATAAACAAAAATATAATCCACGCAGGACAAACATAAAATATCCTGAATCAAACTTAGGTAGGTCAGATTTTGATTGAATTGCTTTCATATTTCATACATCTTTCACTTCCCTCTCCATTGAACAGTCAGTTTTATATACACAGAGCACCGATCAACAGTGCCCCTCTCTCACCCTGTTCCACTGGATCTTTATACAACTAATTTACATCAAAACTTTGACCCTTCTTTAGTATCTGCAACACTCAGACGGCCAGACACCCTCTCCTCTCGTCTGGCTCCCAGGGAGTCGGCGCTGAGGTGGTGCAGGTAGTGTGGAAAGATGTGTGCAACATGAAAGCAATTCTTTCACATTCAGAGTAAAGGCAGCCAATTAAATGGTCAGTGAGTCGATGGCATGCCAAGCTTAAAGCAAAATGGATCCCACCCCAGTGTGATGCTTCAGACTCGTGGATTAAGTGTTTTTCAACTAGACAGAAAAGTTGCTCCATTGCAAAAAACCCTAGGCACAGAATTGACTATTTAGATTACCGACTCATACTGGAACCCCCTACTCCGCTTGCACAGGGGAGATCATGAGATTTTATCTAGTAAGAATTGTTCTTTACACAAAACTTGGAGAATATTTAGTGCTCTATCATTCCGTTTATAGGTGTATTTTATATAATATCTATTTTCTTTTCTCTACCTCTCCAATGAAATAATCCAACATCCATGTTAAAATGGCCTCCCACAGGTGCTCAATGTACTATAGATTTCACTATAAAATGTTTTCCCCCAGTCTTAAAATCAAATCATAAATAAATAAATAAACACACGAAGAATGTCTACTGTAAACACAGTAAAAAGACAAACTAAAACAGGTGTAAACGTCATTAGCATCACTACTCAGTGACAGTTAAATAACTAGGAAATGGATGACTGATGATCGGATCAAGAGGGAAGGATTCCTCTCCTCTTTTCTTCTTGTCCCTCCTCCCCCTCCCACTAGATTCGAACACCAAGCTGTTACACGCAAACCACAGTTGTATTTCCAAATACATAATATCAAAGTTTCTCAGCACCCATAGCTATCTTTACAGATGATAAAATGGATGAGGAATCCCTATAGGTTTTTTTTTTTTAAACAGCAGCATCACTTGACGTCTTGGACAAATGACAGAATAAACAGGTGGTGAATTATCTTCTTCCCAAAGTCATTTGGACATGGTTTCCATGGTTTTCCTCCAGTCATTGCACTGTTCATTGTGTTCTTGACATGTCTGTATTTGGGGGGAGGGGTGAACGTTTCTCTGAAGAGTTAGACTGGCAATGAGGACAAAGCTTTGCTGCTAAGTGCTTCATCTTCTGAGACACACTTCATATTACATGAACTGCATCTGTGGGTGGAATTCAACATACAAGGATTTATTAGACAAGAGTTTTACCAGCCCGCTCTTGGTGGTTCTGAAAATGCATCACAATGTCCTCAGAGCAAAAGCAACTGTCACACAAGATACAGCTGATGAATCAAGATTTCAGCAATGGCGAACTATTGCCTGAAAACTACAATGCTATATCTGAAGTCATAGAATGGGGGAAAAAAGTATATCCACATAGACGTAATGGCTAGTGTATCTGTGGAAAGTGTAAAAGAAGGTTTTTAAAAATCCTGAAATGCATCTGCTGATTATTTAAGCGAGCAAGACACAAACCAACTAATCAAGCCCATATAAAGTGCAAGAGATATAGCGAGAGGAAATGAACAGCAGTGGTTGATCAGATGGAAGAAGCAGTGTGCTTGCAAGTAGAGACGATAACAGTAAGAGAAGAGAAAAAAAGAGAAGCATTAGCGTGAAGCCGCGCTGCGCATGCATGTACATCCGCAAGCACAGAGCATGCTGTACCTAAGAGACGCTCTACAAGAAATCCTTGAGAGAGAGCTGTGCAAATGGGTCCTGTCCAGGGGCTCGGAGAGGACTCTGGCTGGAAGGACTAGAGGCTGCAGAGGGCTATTTCAGGGAGAGGGAGAAACACACGGGAGGAGGAGGTCAGAGAGAGCAAGAGAGAGAGAGAGTGAGAGTGATAGTGAGAGTGAGAGAGAGGGAGGGATCAGATAGAAGGAAAGAGAAGAATGAAGGGTGAAAGAGGTTACACAAAGAGAGGTAAAACTTGGGGACTCTTGAGGAAAGTGATGACAGACAGATTTGTCCCTCTCCTCCTGAGAGGTAAGAGTAAACTAGAACACGGTTGTCATCACAGGGGGTAGTACACACACACAACGGATACTGTAACTAGACACCACACAGCACTGAATACACCTGGACACTGAACTCATACAACCCTACAATGGACATTAACCCTCACGTGCATGGTACACACACGTCTGATTATTGTACAAACACACACCTGGGCACTGGATACAGAGCCGAAGGGGTTGGGCGGCCTCATGATGGGCTGGTTGTACATCATGTTGGGTTGGTTCATCATACCCATAGAGCCAAGCTGTTGGGGTGGCTAAAGACAATAGCATAGAGAAACATCAGGCATAATAGACATGCTACAGTAGATTGCATAGCACAGAAGGATGTATAGGACTTTTAACTGTTACTCCTATTACTACTGCATGGCTATTACCTCTCTCAGTGCTAGCTAAACAGTATGGCTATTCCCTCAGTAAATAATAATAATAATACATTTTATTTAGCGGACGCCTTTCAAGATACTCAAGGAAATCTTACATTAAAAGTTGGACTACATAAAATCAAGTACAGTACATAAAATGCATCAACTAAAAGTGTGTGGGGGGGTGGGGACAGACACTAGGCTATAGGCTCTCTCGAAGAGGTGTGTTTTGATGATTTTTTTTTTTTATGACATGACTGTGTCTGCATGTTGTATGTGTTGGGGGAGTGCATTCCAGAGGCTGGGTGCCGAGCAGCTGAAGGCCCGGGCACCCATGGTGGAAAGGCGGAATGGGGGGGGGGGGGGGGGTACAGAGGAGCAATACTAGTTACTGCATGGCTAAGTCCCTCAGTACTAACTACTGCATGGCTAAGTCCCTCAGTGCTAATGCATCCAGACACCCATCTGACAGATACTGACCATGCCATATCCCCCCATCATGCCTGTGGGTGTTGTGGCAGGGTATGCCATGACCGGGGGGGTCTGCAGAGACACAAACACACCAATGAGGACACAACATCTTCTCCCACAGAGAATCCAGCAGACCGATGTCAAGTCAGGACAACAACTTCTTAACACTGGTCTAATACCAACACTAGAGTGATACAGTAGCTAAAAAAAACAATCATCACAGACAGATAAGAGCACCAGTACTGTAAGAGGCCAGTGTAGTGTGTATTACCATGGAGACAGGGTTCCAGGTGGTGTTTGGGGCTGCTTTGGGCTGCCAGTTGCTTCCGCCAGTCAGCCTCTTCTCCCCCGGCTGACTCCAGTGGATGTCACTGTAGGTTACGACAGCTAATATTAGCACTGGCTCCTAACTGCTGCTGGCTATACAGAACAGTTCTTCATCTAGCACTGTGACCACGGCACGTTGAAGAGACTGAACAGCACGAACAGCTCACTTACTTTTTCGTTGTGCCATTTCCAATCCCGAGATCTACAAGAGGATAGTAATATAAATGTGAGATGTACACATTCAGAAATAGTTCGTTCTACTACTATAGCTGTGTGACATATTGCGGTCTAACCTATGAGTGAAAATATAAATAGACACCATGATTCACTCAGGCAAAGATGGGTGTTCTCTTTTAAATCCGTAGTTTTCTATTCAGGGAGTATTATCTGAATTAAATATCCTAGCATGACGTTGTGACACTTACTGCCCACCAGGTTGGCCAGGGAGGAGTCCAGGTCATCGCCTACCAGTTTGTCTGACAGCTGATTGATGGCGCACAGCGCCTGATTGGAGCCGACCATGGTGGGTTTCAGGATGTCTAAGGAGGACAGAGAGGTGTACATTGGTTGGATGTGAAACATCATGTGCATCAAACAGTAAAATATTCAACACCTCACCATCAGAGTCAATATTGTTAGTGCCAGTAGCTTTGGCTCCAAAGACTGACTCGAAGTCCACTTGGAGTGCTCCTGGGGGAGGGGCCTGTGTTGCTGTGGAGTACCCTGTAAAGAGGTCAAACGGGAGGCTGCTCAGAACACGGCAGGTGCAATGATGGAGAAGTATTATTCCATTGGTGTTAAAGTCAGAGCTGCTAAATAGTTACAGAAAGCCACCTTATAGCAAATGGTGGTCTCCTAAATGGCTAGTAGAACTATGCTACCTCTGAATAGACCTGCTACAGCACAGCTACAGGTTCTCTAGTACTCTACCTCTGAATAGACCTGATACAGTACAGCTACAGGTTCTCTACCTCTGAATAGACCTGCTACAGTACAGCTACAGGTTCTCTAGTACTCTACCTCTGAATAGACCTGCTACAGTACAGCTACAGGTTCTCTAGTACTCTACCTCTGAATAGACCTGCTACAGTAGAGCTACAGGTTCTCTAGTACTCTACCTCTGAATAGACCTGCTACAGCACAGCTACAGGTTCTCTAGTACTCTACCTCTGAATAGACCTGCTACAGTACAGCTACAGGTTATCTACCTCTGAATAGACCTGCTACAGTACAGCTACAGGTTCTCTAGTACTCTACCTCTGAATAGACCTGCTACAGTACAGCTACAGGTTCTCTAGTACTCTACCTCTGAATAGACCTGCTACAGTACAGCTACAGGTTCTCTACCTCTGAATAGACCTGCTAAAGTACAGCTACAGGTTCTCTAGTACTCTACCTCTGAATAGACCTGCTACAGTACAGCTACAGGTTCTCTAGTACTCTTGAATAGACCTGCTAAGTACAGCTACAGGTTCTCTAGTACTCTACCTCTGAATAGACCTGCTACAGTACAGCTACAGGTTCTCTAGTACTCTACCTCTGAATAGACCTGCTACAGTACAGCTACAGGTTCTCTAGTACTCTACCTCTGAATAGACCTGCTACAGACAGCTACAGGTTCTCTAGTACTCTACCTCTGAATAGACCTGCTACAGTACAGCTACAGGTTCTCTAGTACTCTACCTCTGAATAGACCTGCTACAGTACAGCTACAGGTTCTCTAGTACTCTACCTCTGAATAGACCTGCTACAGTACAGCTACAGGTTTCTCTAGTACTCTACCTCTGAATAGACCTGCTACAGTACAGTTACAGTTCTCTACCTCTGAATAGACCTGCTACAGTACAGCTACAGGTTCTCTAGTACTCTACCTCTGAATAGACCTGCTACAGTACGAGCTACAGGTTCTCTAGTACTCTACCTCTGAATAGACCTGCTACAGTACAGCTACAGGTTCTCTAGTACTCTACCTCTGAATAGACCTGCACTACAGACGTTCTCTATGAAAACTGTACAGTACAGCAGGTTCTCTAGTACTCTACCTCTGAATAGACCTGCTACAGTACAGAGCTACAGGTTCTCTAGTACTCTACCTCTGAATAGACCTGCTACAGTACAGCTACAGGTTCTCTAGTACTCTACCTCTGAATAGACCTGCTACAGTACAGCTACAGGTTCTCTAGTACTCTACCTCTGAATAGACCTGCTACAGTACAGCTACAGGTTCTCTAGTACTCTACCTCTGAATAGACCTGCTACAGTACAGCTACAGGTTCTCTAGTACTCTACCTCTGAATAGACCTGCTACAGTACAGCTACAGGTTCTCTAGTACTCTACCTCTGAATAGACCTGCTACAGTACAGCTACAGGTTCTCTAGTACTCTACCTCTGAATAGACCTGCTACAGTACAGCTACAGGTTCTCTAGTACTCTACCTCTGAATAGACCTGCTACAGTACAGCTACAGGTTCTCTAGTACTCTACCTCTGAATAGACCTGCTACAGTACAGCTACAGGTTCTCTAGTACCTACCTCTGAATAGACCTGCTACAGTACAGCTACAGGTTCTCTAGTACTCTACCTCTGAATAGACCTGCTACAGTACAGCTACAGGTTCTCTAGTACTCTACCTCTGAATAGACCTGCTACAGTACAGCTACAGGTTCTCTAGTACTCTACCTCTGAATAGACCTGCTACAGTACAGCTACAGGTTCTCTAGTACTCTACCTCTGAATAGACCTGCTACAGTACAGCTACAGGTTCTCTAGTACTCTACCTCTGAATAGACCTGCTACAGTACAGCTACAGGTTCTCTAGTACTCTACCTCTGAATAGACCTGCTACAGCACAGCTACAGGTTCTCTAGTACTCTACCTCTGAATAGACCTGCTACAGTACAGCTACAGGTTCTCTAGTACTCTAACTCGAATAGACCTGCTACAGTACAGCTACAGGTTCTCTAGTACTCTACCTCTGAATAGACCTGCTACAGCACAGCTACAGGTTCTCTAGTACTCTACCTCCGAATAGACCTGCTACAGTACAGCTACAGGTTCTCTAGTACTCTACCTCTGAATAGACCTGCTACAGTACAGCTACAGGTTCTCTAGTACTCTACCTCTGAATAGACCTGCTACAGTAGAGCTACAGGTTCTCTAGTACTCTACCTCTGAATAGACCTTCTACAGCAGAGGGCTCAGTGGGGTAGGGGGCCTGGTGTGGAAGGTGCTGGGCCATGGACACTGGACCACCACAGAAGGAGTCTGACAACGCCAAAGGAGGAGCAGGAAGAAGAAGAGCGAGCAAAGGAAGGCATTTCAAGGCACGGCAAGAATGGCAGGCAAGGCAAAGTGACAGTACAGACAGAAAGGAGACAGTTAACAGAAAACACTTAGCAGTTGTATAGGGACACTAACAGGTAACAAGTAAAACTAATTCTAACAAAGTCAAAACAGGAACTGCAGAGTACAAGGAGATAAAAATATCCTAAAATCGCCAGACTACCCTAACCATAGGGTTATTTTGGGGCCACTAAACACATTACAAGGGTTGAAGGGCCTATGTTTGCCTATGGGTCAGGAAACATAGGCTGGGATGGTGAGCCATCGTAGTACCTGAGATGGAGTGTTCTATCCGCACTGTGCGTTTGTAATTGGTTGAAACGGACGAGTTTGTGTCAGTAAAGGGATTATAACGATCTAGAGAATCAAAAATAATATTGGTAAGGGAAACAGATTTCAACTTATAGCTCTAAGAGGATACTACAAGAGAAAATAATCAAATCGGTTTGTAATATCAGAATCTAGAAGCAATAGCCTATTTGAATACATTATGAAAAAATATATTTTTCTGCAGCAGAGAATCATGGCAAGTGGAGGCTTTGCATTTTAAGGTACACAACAAACATTTAACTTTAGATAGCTATGAGATCATTTACATGTAGACAGAAGTAACAACAGCAGGGCTTATGGGAGACTTCCTTCAAACAGTCCCACAGAGAGACACATGAAGGCTATTTCAGGAGGAACAAAGAGTATCTTTACCACCAAACATTTCATGACCAGACGTCCTAGAGGAATAGCTAACACCGTCGGAGGACACGACAGGTAAGTGAGCGGCGGCATCGACAACGACTTTTGAGAGGAAAGGGTTAAGGTTTGGCACGGAGTCATCTGCAGCTTCAGCAGAGGTGAAAGGATCTAGGCAGGCAGAGGAGAGAAAGAACGAGAAGAGATACAGAAGAGAAGAACAGGAGGACATCAGAGTCAGACGCAACAGGAAGAGAGGGAGAGCATGCAGAACAGAACAGGTTATGGTAGAAGACAGTAGAGGGGTCCTGTGGTGGTGGCTGTTTCTCCTACCTGCCCATGCTGTGGCCACAGGAAGCCCTGTAGAACTGGCCTGCATTGAAGGGTTAAAGGTCTGCTGAATGTCAAACAGGTCACTCTCCATCTTCAGAGCACTGAGGAGAGAGACAGCAGTGATGCTATACCTGAATCAACACTGGGACATGTAGATGAACATCAGAATTACCAGATACACACAGAAGTATTGAGGTAGAGGTTCTCTCTAACCACAGATCTAGAATCAGAGCACTCTAAATCCTACCCTTACCCACTAGGAGGATGAAGAAATATCTGACCCTGTATCAGTGGTTAGCAGCAACTTCTACATAATCCACGCTAACCTCTCTGGTCAACCACATGAGTGGGTAAGCTTCACAGGTCATAGGTGAAAGTTTACCCATTGGAGCAGCTGGGTGTGGAGAAGAGGTCGATGGCCGGGGCTGTGCTGATAGTGCCCCCGGTGGTGGAGACAGGAGACGTGTCTGTGGTGGCGAAGGAAGGCCTCTTAGAGAGCTCCTTCAGCCTCTGTTCCTGGGTGGAAAGAGTCCAAGTCAAATACAGACACTCTACAGATGTAGAATGTAGAGCGTAGACTAGAGAAGGCGATGGTTGTAGTTATGTATGTGGGCCATACTGGATCGACCAAACAAGGCTTTGAATTGTTCAAATCATTGCCTGCATACTGCAACATATCACTGTCCTTCACATGTAGATGGGACAGGCAACATAAAACCATGTCCATTCTCGTCAAATTCATGTTGTGATCCACGCGTCTCAAATTCATGTTGTGATCCACGCGTCTCAAATTCATGTTGTGATCCACGCGTCATGACGGCTGTACCTTCAGTGCTTTGAGACGAGCCTGTTCCTCCTCCAGAGCAGCCTGCTTCTCCCGCTCGTCTACTTTAGTAAAAGACATCCCCGTACTGGCCAGCGAGGACACTGCGTTGGATAGAGTACTGGCCCTGAAACAACACACAACAGTAAACACTGCTAGGCAGAATACTACAGCAACCCTGGCTGAAAACATCAATAACCATTACCATCAATAATAATTAAAGCAATCTTGGCTTAAGAGCTTTGTGCACAAAGCAAATCAGTTATTATAGTGGCAGCTGCTTCTAGGCTACCTGCAGGGGTATAGTGGACTCAGTGCCAAAGACACTCCAGTGTGAGACGAAGGATACGTCCCAAATGGCACCCTGTTTCCTATGCACTACTTTTGACCAGGGCCCATAGGGCTCTGTTCAAATGTAGTGCACTATGTAGAGAATAGGGTGCCATTTGGGACGCAGCCCATCCTGTACATACCTGCTGGCAGCGGTGGAGTCTTTGACCTTCTTCCCCTCTAGAGAGGCCAGATGCTGCTCCAGAGCTTCCAGGAGGCTACTGGGAGCCTGTTGTAATTGAGAACAGCAGTTAGTATAGGCCAGGGTTGGAAACATGCAGTTAGACTGTACTGTATGAACACAACCATCTCAGGCAGTGATGGGCAACCTGGTTACTGTACTGTACATACACTAGCTATAGGTCTTGAGTTTTTCCTGACAACATTTTCTGAAAACGTTTAGCTGGTCATGTTACGTGGTGAGGAAAAACTCAGTTCCCTAACTATAATGTCCCATATACCACTATAGCTTAGTTACTGGATTCTAGCTAGCACTTAGTGAGGAGCTAAACACTTCCCAGTAAACTAAGGGACAAATACTAACTCAAGACACTACAGAAATACATTGATGTACAAGGCAGACACACAGAAGGACTGTGTTGCCCACCACCAGTCAATGGTTGTTTGCTTTTCAGCTGAAAGCCACATTGGATGAGTGATATTGAAATGTGTGTGGATGACACACACCACGGCACTTTCAACATCCTACAGTATGTGGTGTTGAATTGGCAATGTCTAAGCACACCTGGGCAGCCATGTTGGATGGGCTATGTATATTTCATGTGACAAAGAGAACTTTGTATACAATTTGTTCCACTCCAATAAAACACAATATCAATGAGACAAAGAGTCAGAGTAGAGGCATGCAAAGACAACACCAAAGCAAGTCACAGACACAGAAGAGTGAGATGAGAATACTTACACAAACTGTGAACTAAAGGTGGAAAGATAAGGGGAAATACAGAATATAAAAGGCGGTGATGGTCAGAGATAAATAGCTATATTGAACCGTAACTATAATGTATGTCAGTGTCACTGACTGTAGCACAACAGGTGTGGGGGGCCATTATTCAATTTGCTGTACACTGTGTGAAATCAGTAGTACTGTAAGATACACAGTCAGTTTGGACTCTTAACACCTTTATTTACTGTAGATAGAGCCTAATCAAGAGAGGAAGAAGAAGAAAAAGTGAGAAATATGCCTCAATTGGCAACATGCGCTGGAGGACTTCATGCACTGAACAGTGCCTTATCTCTGGGAGATGTGTGCAGGGTGGAGTAAATATTGTGGTGGGGCAACAGAGCTGATTAAATAAGAGGAGTTAATACTGAGATAGAGAGACACACAAAGAGAAGAAAGAAATAGAAAGTGACAGCGAGAAATAAGGGAGAGAAAGTGAGAGCGAGAGAGAGAGAGATGGAGACAGAGAGTAGGAATTCAACTGTCTTTTCAGTAGACAAACGGACAGAGTAAGTTCGGTGTGTAGGCTTTTTGTGCAGAGTGTGTCTAATAGGTTATACCAGCAGAAGTATATTCCTCTACAGTGTAAAGTCTTACCTGGGAAAGGTCTGGAATGTCTCCTCGATCAATCCCCACCTGCTGTCAAATGAGAATATGTGCAAAGTTATAGTGGTGCCTCTAAATTAAAACGTATTTTCTACCACTACCTAATTTCTACCACCATAATTTTCTCCCAAAAATTTAAATATATCAGAGGTTGTCCCCTTTAATGAATGGTATTGAATGAATGAATAGCATCAAACTCAAAGCAGGTAAAGAAGAAATCACCTCTGCCACTTTAAGGAACTCTGAGATTCGGGTCATTCGGGTCAGAAACTTCTTGTAGATATCCAGGCCCTCTTTACACTGGGTTTTCTTCATGTCAAAGTACTTCTCTGTGGTAAAAAATAAGTACATGAATAAAACAGCTGGCATTAGCGCCGAAAGTCTGTAGACACACTAGGGATAAACTCTGTAGAGAATTTAGTCTCTATTAGTACAATTTAGTACTGTACATATCAAAAGATATATAGTACAAGGACCTAAAAAGCACTTCTCCAGATTAAACATTTGAAAAGAGTATTGATCAGAAAATAGTGGAGTAAATAAAGTTGGAGTTGAGGTTTTACCCAGCAGGTTGATGATGCCTTCGTTATATGCAGCAAAAAGCCTAATGGAATCTTTGAAGAGGAGCATGAACCCTGCATTTATCACTCCGTTTGTGAGCTCATTGGCATTAACCTGAAGGAGACACATCATCCAGTTTCACATAAGCCATAAATTGCCCAATTAACACACAATAATGACTTTGGCATCGCTGACAAACAATAAAAGAGCAGGTCAGTGAGGAGGAAAATAGCCTGTATCTATCTCTAGTTTCAGCACTGCCCATTCAGTAATCAGTATGCCTGACACAATCTGTTAGCCCCAGGAACCCTCATATTACAGTAGAAGAGCAGCACGGTTCTGGGGAGGTTGACCTCAGACTCACATTGAAGTCGAGGAGGGCGTCCATCTGGTTTTGTATGATAGGGATGGTCTTCAGTAGCTTCTCTGTATTCATGGTCCTCATCACCCCATCCACCCTGTTGAGATATGTGTGTATGTGTAGTGTTAGATAGGTGTTAGAAGCACAAAGGACAGAGAGTAAGGGAATCAGTGAGAATAGCCTCAGCCAGTCAATTTCTACTGCATGTTAACAATCGTTCCCAGAGTTACAGAAATACTGTGATTACTTCATGGAATATAAAAAGCTTTGAAAATGTTGAAAGGATAATGACATTCTGTCGTTAAAACTGACAGGAATCTTCTCTTCTAAACTAAATATTAGAGCTGTCAATATTTTCAAGTATTTTTTTATACCAGCGGGTGGCTCTGCAAGGGGAAAGTGTTTATTGTAAGAAATTGTTTGAGCCTTTGAACTCCACTGACATACATTCGGGTAAGGAGTGGGTCAGTCAAAAACAAACATACCACTTTCTTCTGTTGATATGTTGGGAATTTCTTACCCTCGTTTTACTTTAGTGAAGTCAAAGGCAACCTGCCTGTACGACACAGCCTTCTCATTCAGATATCGACTGTACCTTCGGATAAATGTGGACATATCGTAGCCTGGGAGAGAGAGACCTGAGAAGTGATATAAATCTTACATTTGTCATGAACACCTACATGAGAGTCATGCTATATTTGTTCATAAGTTATATTGTTTCCTCTTATACGTATTTGTCACTGTAACAGTTAAGGATGAGTTTGAGAAAAGCATTTGAGAGCCAAGGCCTCATATTTTACCTTGTAAACCACTTTTGTCCAAAAAATTACTGAGGTTGAATAATGTGTTCCTTGAAGCCAAGTACTGCACAAAGCGCTGTATCAAAGAAAAAGAGCGGTATTAATACATGTTCTTACATTTTCATTGATCTACAGAAATAGAATAGGACTGGAGTACAAGTAATTTCCAGATTTTTATTAAAATATTGACAAACCTAGAAATTGCCTGGTTAGCAATTGATTGTCTTATTGTCTGTGAACTGAAAACTTCAACACTATAGCATTGCTGTTATAGATATAATATATATTACAGACAATAATGTAATGAGAGGTGAATGTAGACATAGACAATATTGTAGTGAGCGGTGATTGTAAACTCAGCTCACCTCATTGCCGTAGACCATGAGGTGGTGTGTGGCGATGAGCGACTTGAAGACCACCACCCAGCTCGTGCTGGTGGTCCTCTCAAACAGTGAGTCAGCCAGCTGGGGAATGTTCACGTTCATCTCATTGGTGCAATGGATCAGGTCTAAAGACGAGAGTGAGACAAACAAACAGACAGAGAGAGAATGTTAGCAATAGCCTGATGTCTTGGAAGACATTTACATTTACGTCATTTTGTTGAAGACCATGGATAATTGATGTCAAGTAGTGAGTTATGGCCACTGGCCTGTAGAGGTTAAAACAACTGTGGATACAAGGCATTTCCCCTATGGGGGAGTTGAATTTTGGGGTAAAGTCAGTTAATATTCTATGAAAGACATTGTTTTGAAATCTGTGTAAACAGGGACACAGGCACTCCGCCCTCAGATGCAATCTCATTCAATTAGCTTTAATTCAAGGTCTGGCTAATTGCCTAACTACACTCAAGACACTTAATTACTATGCTACAGTACTATAGGCTGCCACTCTCTTTTCTGTTTTTTTGGCACGGCAATTCCTCAAGAGGGTCTACTGAAGTTAAATAGATGAAAGCATGATGAATAAGTCACCATTTCGAAATCAAACAATGTATTTTTAGTCAAATACACTATACATACAAAAGTATGTGGACACCCCTTCAAATTAGTGGATTTGGCTATTTCAGCCACACCCGTTGCTGACAGGTGTATAAAAGCAAGTACAAAGCCATGCAATCTCCATAGACAAACATTGGCAGTAGAATGGCCTTACTGAAGAGCTCAATGACATTCAACCTGGCACCGTCATAGGATGCCACCTTTCCAACAAGTCAGTTCGTCAAATTGCTGCCCCGGTCAACTGTAAGTGCTGTTATTGTGAAGTGGAAACGTCTAGGAGCAACAACGGCTCAGCAGCGGAACGGGACCGCCGAGTGCTGAAGCGCGTAATAATCGTCTGTCCTCGGTTGCAACACTCACTACAGAGTTCCAAAATGCCTCTGAAAGCAACGTCAGCACAAGAACTGTTCGTCGGGAGCTTCATGAAATGGGTTTCCATGGCCGAGCAGCCGCACACAAGCCTAAGATCACCATGCACAATGCCAAGCGTCGGCTGGAGCGGTGTAAAGCTCGCCGCCATTGGACTCTGGAGCAGTGGAAACACGTTCTCTGGATGATGAATCACGCTTCACCATCTCGCTGTCTGATGGGCGAATCTGGGTTTGCGGATGTCAGGAGAACGCTACCTGCCCCAATGCATAATGCCAACTGTAACGTTTGGTGGAGGAGGAATAATGATCTGGGGCTGTTTTTCATGGTTTGGGCTAGGCCCCTTAGTTCCAGTGAAGGGTAATCTTAACGCTACAGCATACAATGACATTCTAGACGATTCTGTGCTTCCAACTTTGTGGCAACAGTTTGGGAAGGTAATTTCCTGTTTCAGCATGACAATGCCCCACGTGCACAAAGCGAGGTCCATACAGAAATGGTTTGTCGAGATCGGTGTGGAAGAACTTGACTGGCCTGCACAGAGTCCTGACCTCAACCCCATCGAACACCTTTGGGATGAATTGGAACGCTGATTGCGAGCCAGGCCTAATTGCCCAACGTCAGTGCCCGACCTCACTAATGCGCTTGTTGCTGAATGGAAGCAAGTCCCCGCAGCAATGTTCCAACATCTAGTGGAAAGCCTTCCCAGAAGAGTGGAGGCTGTTATAGCAGCAAAGGGGGGACCAACTCCATATTAATGCCCATGATTTTGGAACGAGATGTTCGACGAACAGGGGTCCACATACACTACATAACCAAAAGCATCTTGGTAACTACTAGCTGCTCCTTCCGCCACCAGTTCTCTCCACTCGTCTATAGCCTCAGTTGGCCTAAAGCTCTACTCTGATGAGCCCCATGAACCAGTACAGGTCAGCTACTAGACTATATTCAAATTCCTTTCAAGGTTGCCTTTTCACAAAATACTATTTAAGAAAAAACTGGATTCTCAACAATCTGTGTAAGTTTGCTATTTGAGGCCTGGGTGTTTTGTTGGGCACACAGGTAAGACAATTGAAAACTACTACGTCAAGATTGGTTGATTGGACTTCCGGTCTCTGTTGCTTCCAATAATACACATTTTGAAAATGTTCAACCATGTGTCATTCCTCCGCATACAGTAACTCATTAGGTCATACCACTGAACACACTCATGCATCTAGTGTAGGGCTCTTCAAACCTGTTCCTGGAGAGCTACCGTACCGTACGTTTTCGCGCCAACCCTAATATAGCACACCTGATTCTAATAATTAGCTGGCTGATAAACTGAACCAGGTTAGTTAAAATTGGGGTTGGAGTGAAAACCTACAGGAGGCTAACTCTCCAGGGAACAGGGTTGGAGAACCCTGATCTAGTGAGTTGAATTCATGGAAGGCAGTGCTCTTCAACCGTGTTCCTGGGGAGCTTCCCTCCTGTAGGTTCACTCCAACCCCAGTTGTAACTAAACTGATTCAATTTATTAACCAGATAATTAGAATCAGGTGTGCTAGATTAGGGTTGGAGTGAAAACCTACAGGACGGTAGCTTTCCAGGAACAGGGTTGGAGAGCCCTGATGTAGAGAATGGGTGATGCCAGTCAAACCTGTGCAGTCTACCCATTCCCCATTCAGAGTTAAGATTGAGTGATGAACAGATTGACAGTGTAATAACCAGGCCTGGCTTTCTGGCCTATATTCTCACGTTTTCAAAGGAGGGGAGTCTAAGTAGGACAGCATAACCTTCCAGAGCAGCAGTTAGCATGGCTAGTTGATTATCCAGGGAAGACTGGGACGGGAGGTGGGATGACAGCGCTGTCATGTTATAGACACTAGACAGCCTGCTAAATATTCATCCTAGTTTGCATTGTTGCTAACACTTTTTTTTTTAAATGCACCTTGGTGTCGTCATATGTTGCAACTGCTCTAAAAAGTAGGTCTAACACATCACACTGTATGCAACACTGTACATGAAGACTGTAGCACAACAATTAACCATTTATGTGCAATTGTGTTGCAATCTCTAACAATATCTGGTATATTGTCTGTGTCTTCCATGCATCTGTACTAACATATCAGCCAGGTTTCTGCTGTGAATCCACCATTTAATCTCATTGGGACTACAATACCAAGTAAAGCAGCCACACTGAGAACTCCTAAATATTACTGTGTGGACAGTGGGCCAGGAATGATGTCAGTGTTATTTTCACAGCTCTTTATATAAGGCCTAGGCGGCCTACTGTTCTGTCTGTGTATGAGAGGCTGTGAGTGAGTCTCAGGTATGTCACGTTGGACGGCTGGTCGGGTTTGGGTGAGCCAACAGACTTCTGAACACTCTACCAACATTCACTCATCCTGTTAGATAATGGCTCCTGTACCTCAGTAGAGTACTGTAGGCCTACGCTCAACTAACAGGTGTGAAACAACAGGCTGGCTGAATCAACTCACAACTTTAGCATAGATAGTCCATAGGATTCAAATGTGATTAGAAGTGGGCACTTTCAGATTAAGTTACCAGTAACCACCTTGGTTTCACACAGTTTTCCAGTTGTTCCAAAGGTCAATGTATGCAAAAGGAACTTAGGAAAAGCAATACAATATGTAGCTAGCCTACTACATGCTTCAGCTGGGGTCTGAACCAGCAACCTCCACATCATTGTACCTGTGTGTCATGCAATATGCTCCTATAATCATGATGACAATTACATTTGAACAGTAACCTATTATGCATAACCTGCTTGCAGAAGAGATACAACATCCTTGAGATTTAATCACGTATAATGAAATGTATTATAGTGAGAATGAATTAATGGACAGGACATTTATTGCATTCACTGTTACTTTTGCAGTGGCAGGTGCTCTGCTTTGTGACAAGTAGCATTTCTGAGGATGGTCACACAGATTAAAAAGGTCTGACGCTGCCATCAGGGTTATATATATATATATATATATATATATATATATATATATATATATATATATATATATATATATATATATATCAGTCTGCTGGATGTCTGGTCTGATTAATCAGGCTGTAATACACAATTAATTGGTATTTACAGCCTGAAACTAATGCCTGCAAAATCGTGTAAATGTTCCTTACCACAATGTTGAATAAAATGACATGTAAACTGACTCTACTGGTTGTCTGTGCGGTTTGTCCTTCAGCTGCTCTAAATTTGAGAAAAAATATCCAAAGGAAAAGTATTTGTGGCCTTCCATGGAATGAGTTTGACAACCCTGCATAAAAGTAAAACTGCAAAAAAATGTGGCAAAGAAATTAACTTTATGTCCTGAATACAAAGCGTTATGTTTGGGGCAAATCCAACACAACACATCACTGAGTACCACTCTTCATATTTTCAAGCATGGTGGTGGCTGCACCATGTTATGGGTATGCTTGTCATCAGCAAGGACAAGGGAGTTTTTTTTTGGATAAAAGTAAATGGAATAGAGCTAAACACAGTCAAAATCCTATAGGAAAGCCTTTCCAACAGACACTGGGAGATAAATATTAACCTTTCAGCAGGACAATAACCTATAACACAAGGCCAAATATACACTGGAGTTGCTTACCAAGACGACATTGAATGTTCCTGAGTGGCCTAGTTACAGTTAACATAAATTGGCTTGAAAATCTATAGCAAGACTTGAAAAATGTCTGTCTAGCAATGATCAACAACCAACTTGACAGAGCTTGAAGAATTTTAAAAGAGAATAATGTGCAAATATTGTACAATCCAGGTGTGCAAAGCTCTTGGAGACTTACCCAGAAAGACTCACAGCTGTAAACGCTGCCAAATGTGATTCTAACATGTATTGACTCAGGAGTGTGAAATGTGAATACTTATGTAAATGAAATATTTCTGTATTTCCTTTTCAATACATTTGCTAAAAAATTCTAAACTTCGTCATTATGGGGTGTTGTGTGTAGATGGGTGAGAAAAATATATGATTTAATCGATTTTGAATTCTGGCTGTCACACAACAAAATGTGCAATAAGTTAAGGGGTATGAATACTTTCAAAAGGCGCTGTACATGTGTTTCCCTCAGCAGAGACAGACACACCTAGTAGTGATGATAATGTAGCCTACACTTTGCATGTGGGACTGAAAGTATTCTCCTTGATACTTCCTCTAGGCCTACTCTGAAATATGTACAAGGTAGTTTCCACAGCTGAGCTGTTCAAAGGTGGTTGTTATACCCTCTTCCTATGGTAAATGTATAAAATAGGCCTACTGAATTTACTCACATTAACATATTTGGGGGGGCATTTTTGTACAGCCAAAACGTTAATGTACTGTATCATGGAGAACTGGTCAATTGTAAGATAAGATACACTGACTGATAATTACATGATAACTGTTAAGGCCAGGGAGGGTTGCCTAAAGCTATGCGGAATGAATTAAACCGCTAACGTTATACAGACGGCTAGAAAGCTAGCTAATTTGACAGTACTGTTGATGATGAGTAGGCCTACACTGAAATGATTATTTTTTTTAAAATCTAATATTACTGTTGTTAACGTCCAGTTAAATAATGTTACGAGCATTCTCATTGTATGCTATCGTTTTACTACAATGTATCCTTGATACATTTTGATAGAAACTAGCAATAACATTAGCCTATCCATTCTGGCTTTGGGCCTTGTGTAACCATCGCCATAACTCAAGAGATGCAGAACTCAATGAACAATGACACATTATATCAGTAATTCTTGATCATTTCGATACTTACAATCCAAATGTTTCTTTTTCGGACCCATTATTTCATGTGTGGTGGCCTTGCATACTGTTTTCGACACAGCAGATCCAGTTACACTGTGCTGGGCTGCAGTTATCCTGTCAGTAATGCTCTGCCCCGACATCTTCGTTTATTGATGCAACAAAGAATTTGAAAAATAACAATATGTCTATAAAGTTCCAAATTAATTGAATGATATAATCTTCACGGTTGACACCGCCTGTCCACCGTCTATTTAAAAAATAAAAGAAAGAAAGGGGGAAAAACAAAGAAAAAGACGAGGCGGAAGAAAAATTATACAAAGATATTCAAACAACGTATCCAAAGCTTGATTATTTCAGTTCAGTGTTGATCCGAATGACGCCTTTGATCAAATTGATTTCATAAATAAAGATGCGTCGGTAGATTTGGTGGGTTCTCTTGCTGACTCATTCTCTGCCCATCTCTCATCCCGATCTCTCGCTCACTGGATCCCTGTGTGTCTCCTGTCTTCGTATCGCCACTCCTGCTGGGTTTAAAGGACTAGAAGCATTCAGGGAAATGGCGGGCCTGCTCTGTTCTCAGAAAGGTTAGGATGTATGACGTTATACGGAGCATGCCGACCTAGAATCAGATTTTACATCCATAATCCATAACATTTTATTATGTGAAGGTGTCCACAACTGATTGTGGTCTTGGTGGGAAATGAATATGCCAGACCACAGCAATTACGCCTAAATCAATCTTCTGCAATAATATCCTAACATTTTCAAATTCTCAAGGTAAACTGGGCATTTGCCCACAGGTCGTTTTTTTGTTGTTGTTGTTGCAACACATATGTCCAAGTCCCACTTTTGTGTTGATTAGGCCTAGGCTACACTGGCTGCGTTCTTCTTCTTTGAGGTTTATTGGCAGACTACACTCATACGGTGTATTGCTGCCACCTACTGTATGGGGTAGTAAAAAATACCCCAAAAACTAAATATGTTTTGGATAACGAATTCATACTATATACCCAAAAACACTAACCAAATTCACGCTACTAACCTGAATTTCAAAACAAAACAAAAAAACTGTACTATTCAGATCCCTACACAGGCTCAGGAACCTGGGAGGGGAACCTCTTTATTCAGTACTCCCTGTAACATTTCGGCTGTAAAGTCTTGAGATCCAGAAATCTATTTGCCACAATGATGTCTGGCTTTTTTGATGTTTTATTAGTTTGACTAGTGCAATTTATCACTTGCGCTTGTCAAAGTTGCGTCAATTCAAATCTGGCATTAGGAACAAAAGAGGTCAACACGACTTCTAAGATATACTAGTTATTTTAATTAATGCAAAAACCTTCAATGTTAAATATGATGTTTTGTATATAAGGGCTCTCTGAAATACCTCGCAGGGCACTTCAGAGAACTAATCCATTGTTTCAGATTGTTGCTCAAATACTCTGACAGAGAGAGTTTCCCACCTCTCTGTTGGCCAATCAGAGCAAAGACTTGAGCGTGGTTTAGACTTACTCAGCCTATCCGTTGATGCACCCCTGTTGCCAGGCATAAGTCCATATCATAACAACCTGTCATAGTGAGAAGAGCCAGCTCCCTTAGACACCATTCCTACGTCCAAGGAAGGTTCACAGATCACAAAGAACCAGTATATTCCAGTATCTGGAGACAAAAATCCCTATCCCACTTTACCCCCTAAAACAGCTCTTCACATCAATCACAGCTTGCCAGGTGTCACAACTGTAATATTCATATGTGTCAGCATATTGAATTGTAATTGGATGCATTATACTGTCATATCATTCTGTGCTATGATTGGTTAAGACCACCCAGGTGGTGAGGTCATTCTAAGATGATCATGGCCAGAGACACATGTACATGCACGTTATAGCTAGTTAATAAAGAGCTACGTTTATAAATATCCTGTCGTCCTGCATTTTATTATTTTGTACAAAGCGTACAAAACAAGACATGGTGTCAGAGTAAAAGGACTAAAAGATGGATTTTGCTGGAGTTCCGTCACCTCAAATGGATTGGGGGTCTACAAATCTACCCGATGCATGGCGTAAGTTCAAACAGCATGTGGAGCTGATGTTCACGGGTCCTCTGAAGGAAAGAGGAGAAGAGGAAAAGTGCAGCTACCTGCTCCTCTGGATCGGTGAAAAAGGGAGAGACATTTACAACACATGGACACTTACCGAGGCTGAATCAAAGGTACTGAAAACATACTACGATCGTTATGAAGCATATGTTGTGCCAAAGACCAATACAATTTTCGCTAGGTACAAATTCCATGAGAAAGTACAAGGCGCTAGCGAATCGTTTGAACAGTTTGTCACTGAGCTGCGTCTGCTTGTGAAAGACTGTGATTATGCAAACAAGGATGAGATGGTCAGGGACCGTATTGTATTTGGAATACACTCACCGCGAGTGACAGAGAAACTTTTGAATGTTGGATCAGAGTTAACGCTGGACAAAGCTATCGACATAGCCAGATCTCACGAGCTAGCACAGGTTCAGATGAAAACCATTTCAGGCGGCAGCACGAGCGCATCACGTGAACAAGCAGTGCACGCAGTCAGGCAGACATCAAAGCACACCTCCAGTGCCCAGAGAGCATGTTTCAGAACGGAGACAGACAGAACTCCAAAACAGAGCGACACAGACTCCAAACGCCCCAAAACATGTGGATATTGTGGATACAAAGTGCATGGCGAACAGGGGAATTGCCCAGCTAAAGGCAAACAGTGTACTAAATGTGGAAAATGGAATCACTTTGCAAAAGTGTGCAGAGTTTACCGTGGAAAAACAGTACATACAGTGAGTGAAGATGAAATGTCAATCAAAGAGTCAAATGCTGATGAACTGTTTATTGATTCAGTGACACAGAAAAGTCAGATATCAGAGACAGAGCAAGCCTTTGCTGACATTGAGATAGGAAGACAAGGCACAGAGCTAAAATTCAAACTAGACACTGGTGCACAAGTAAACATTATTCCTCTGAGTAAGTACAGAAGCTTGACATCTGAGTGTGAGCTACAGCCCACCACGCGCAGACTGACTGGTTATGGTGGTGAACAGCTCCCAGTAAAAGGCACATGCACTCTCAAATGCAAATACAAGGAAAGGGACATGATGTTGGACTTTTACGTTGTTGACACTCGAGCACCTGCAGTGCTAGGTCTTAAAGCATGTTTAGACATGGACCTTATCAAGCTAGTTTTATCAGTGACAGCACCAGTAGAGATAGAGAATGTCATGGAGGAGTTTGCTGATGTTTTTACAGGAATAGGACTATTCCCAGGAGAATGTACCATTCACCTTAACCCAGACGCAACCCCTGTGATCTACCCACCGAGAAAGATTCCACTTGCTCTCCGCGCCCGTCTGAAGAAAGAGTTGGAGAGCATGGAGCAATCTGACATCGTCACCAAGGTTACAGAACCGACGGATTGGGTCAACGCGTTAGTGGTGGTGGAGAAACCACGGACAGGCAAGCTCAGAGTATGTCTCGACCCAAGAGACTTGAACAAGGCTATCAAACGCCCCCATTACCCCTTACCGACGCTAGATGGCATCACACACAAGCTAGCGGGCGCACGCTACTTCAGTGTCATGGACGCCAGATCAGGCTACTGGGCTATCAAGCTCACAGAAGAGTCATCTAAGCTCACAACGTTCAACACACCGTTTGGACGCTACAGGTTCCGTCGCCTGCCTTTTGGGATTATCTCAGCCCAAGACGAGTTTCAGCGAAAGATCGACGAGGTGTACGAAGGCCTCGACGGAGTCTTGGCAATTGTGGACGACATCCTTGTCTATGGTCGAACCAAAGAGGAACACGACAGAAACCTCAGCGCGATGCTGCAAAGGTCCCGCGAGAGAGGAGTCCGGCTCAACCCCGAGAAGAGCACAGTCGGCGCTACAGAGGTCAGCTACTTCGGGCATCTTCTCACAGCGAATGGAATCAAGCCAGATCCGCAGAAGATCTCAGCCATAAAGGAAATGGAGCCACCAAAGAACCGCGCAGAGCTGGAAACAGTGCTTGGCATGGTCAACTACTTAGCCAAGTTCGCACCCAGCCTCTCCAATGCTAATGCACCCCTGCGTCAGCTGCTAAAGCAGTCCAGTGAGTTCCTCTGGGACAACCAACACGACATCGCTTTCCAGAAAGTGAAAGACTTGATCACGAGAGAACCAGGACCAATCCTTGCCTACTACGACCCCAACAAAGAGCTCAGACTCCAGGTGGACGCGTCAAAGTATGGACTAGGGGCAGTGCTACTGCAAGAAGGAAAACCCATCGGCTACGCTTCCAAATCTCTCACAGACTGTGAAATCAACTACGCTCAAATCGAAAAGGAGCTGTACGCCATTCTGTTCGGATGTAAGCGTTTCCATCAGTATGTCTATGGACGACAAGTCATTGTGGAATCAGACCACAAGCCCCTCGAGTCAATCATGAGGAAACCGTTAGCCGCAGCCCCGCCAAGGCTACAGAGAATGATCCTTCAACTACAAAAATACGACTTCACAATCACTCACCGTCCAGGCAAAGACATCCCTGTCGCAGACACACTCTCCAGGAAGTTTCTTACCTACAAGGACAGCAGCCTCAGTGAAGGCATGGACATGCAGGTGCACACTGTGTACAGCAACTTACCAGTTAGTGACACAAAACTGAAGGAGATCCGAGCAGAAACAGAAAAAGACACACAACTCACACAGCTGAGGAAAGTCATACAGTCAGGATGGCCTGAGGAGAGGAGAAAATGCCCTCAGAGCGTCTCAGAGTTCTGGAACCATCGTGACGAACTATCACAGATCAACGGAATAATTTTCAAAGGAGAGAAAATCATCATTCCTACCAGTCTCAGAGAAGAGATTTTGACAAAGATCCATGCTGGACACATGGGCATGGAAAAGTGCAAACAGAGAGCACGGGACATTTTGTTTTGGCCCGGAATGTGCAAACAAATAGAGGACATGGTTGGTAAATGCCCCACCTGTCTTGAACGACGCCCCTCAAACACCAAAGAGCCAATGTTACCTCACCGTATCCCAGACCGACCCTGGCAGGTCGTGGCAACAGATCTGTTCACGTGGAACAACGAGGACTACATTATAACAGTGGACTACTACA